AATAAGGTATCTAAGGAGAGCGCGAGAGAACGCGTAACTAAATATAAGAAACGTATATCGTAGAACGTGCCGTACTACGACATATATACGGCGTTACGTACTATTAAGACCGTTTACTACTATATCGTAGGCNAGGTCGTAATAATAATAGAGCTATTATTCGATCGTAGCCGATAAAGCTCGTCGTTATCGATATCGTCTACTCGAAGTTAGGAGTTTATATAGTCTTATATAGTCCTACGTAAATAGAATAACGTAGCCGGCTTTTCGATTAAAATTAGCGAACTTTAGTACGATATTTAAGCCTTAGGCATTTCTCGTTTAGCCTACTATAAGATTTCGATTCCATGTTTAGCTATAGACCCCTCGGTACGAGGGGAGAAGTGTCTAACGAAGCCCCGGATACATGTGGCACATTTTACACTAGTTCTAGTCTAGTTCGGTCTACCTGACCCAAAGAATCAAGACTTCGGCGCCACTTTCGTAGCCACACCGTTCTCTAAGCAAGACCAGTGAGCTTCAGCGAAAGCTCCCACAGCCTCTCTTCCGACTGCGGATCATACGCCCAAGGCGCATACCCAGGAGCAAATGCATGGGCTCCCTCCTTCTTTGCGGGAATAATCTGGCAATCCTCGAGATACTTGCCGCCTTGTCCCTCAAGTGCCTGTGCAACAGCGCCCCAGACTTGTGTCGCAGCGCCCTGTGGCGGACTCTTCTGAAGACTGGCAAAGTACGGGTCCTCGCTGAAACCATTCTTCTGGTCCTCAGTGTAATGACGTGTGAGATCGGTAGGCACCATTCCTGGCTGCACAGACCAGGCGCGTACGTTATCTTTGGCGTATTTTCGATCAAATGCGTTGGCGGTCCAGAGGTTCGCGGTCTTGCTCTGCGCATAGGCGACCACGGGATCGTAGGCGCCACCTTCCAGGTTGATGTTGTCGAAGTGGACGGAGCCGAAGTTGTGAGCGAGTGAGGAGAGAACCACAATGCGTGAATTGAAATCTGGCGTTGCGGCTGCTTTCAGTGCTGGGGTGAGGAGGTTGATGAGCAAGAAGTGGGCGAGGTGGTTCGTTCCGAACTGATATTCGAAGCCATCTTTTGTGCGCTTCTCTGGACATGCCATCACGCCAGCATTGGTGATGAGGATGTTCAACTTAGGACATTCAAGCAGGAACTCCTTCGCGAATACTCGAACGTCCTCAAGAGCATCCAGATCCAGCTTGCGGACTCGCACCCTGTCGGACTTTGCCAATTCTCCCAGCGCCGCATGCGCCTTGGGCAAGTCGCGAGCTGTCAAGTACAGAGTGGCACCAGTATCTGCTAGGGCGCGAGCACTTTCGATGCCGATACCCGATGAACATCCTGTAATCAGGATGGTCTTGTCCGACCACTTGCCTTGGAGATTCTCTGCCTCTACGATCTGCTTTGCGGTTGGACGTGAATCGCCCAATCCTTGAGGCTTCTGGTGAATTGCTGCCCAGCGGTCTGCCATGTTGATTTCGTGTCGATTGATGGACTAACGTCGGTTGTTAAAAGCTGAGATTGCCGGAGCAGTGGTAGAGTGATTGTGAGGATCTTAGAAAGTGTTCGAGGATTTGAATGCGGCCAACCCAGTCCAACGCCCGACTGTATATGACTTCGGAGCCGCCATTCTGGTTCCTTGGTTCATTTTAGCTGACAAATGTTGCATTGTAAGCTGTTATAGAGAGATGGTGATAGGACTTAAGTGCTAACCTTGTGCTTCGTTCTCGAACACTGTGGCTTTGGAAATGATCGAACGGTTGTTCCACACAATACGAAGCCTGCGGCTCAACGACGCATTGAGTCCCAACTATCGCAGGAGTATTACGCTTTCCGTTCAGAAGACATTCCAGCCATGCCAAAACGCAACACAACATAACACAACACAACACGAACAGAGTTCAACATGTGGATCCAACAGTTTCGACAAAAGGGGACCTAAAGCATCTCTTGCAGCCAATCAAGATAGCATGAGTACGAGCTCGTGCTTTATGAAAATTATGCTGTAGCGGACGCAAATTAGTGCAGCGCACGCTAAAGCCGGACTCGCATTTGGCTCAACCTGCTAAGCAGAGGTTGCGTAGCGGTGTTGTTGCTCTTCGTTTCCGCACGGCTAAATTTGTCTACGAGTAGCCCATGCTATGCTAAAAGTTGCAAACACGTCAGGTTCAATCACTCGCTACGTCGTGGACCTCGGCAAGCTCCGGTACGACTGACGCTCATACGTTGCTTCGCGAATAACGAAGCCCCGTGCACTTCTCCTGGTCAGCCAGTCGTTGCGTCGCTCTATAGATCATCCGTGCCGGCAGCTTGCTCGGAGGAAGCGGCTGGGAGGGAAGGGAACAGGCAAGATCATCGCAGTTGCCAAGACAAGCACAGTGTCGACTTTTGGACGTGAAAGCTTCCAGCTTCATCACCTGTTGTCGATTCCACCCCACATCTGCTGTTCAGCGTAGTCTGCCACACCACTATCAATTGCGATTGCCGGGGGATCGCCCTTATCATTCTCGACCTCGCACTGCTTCCAGACCATGGTTCAGGCGCAGCTGCGTCTCGCACGTCCAGACGCGTTCTTGAAAACGAAGAGTGCACAGTCGTAGAGAGTTGACCGTCTTCGTGAGCTCACGAGCGGAAACCCGCAGCGTAGCCACAATTCCGCTCCTCGAAACATGAGACCTGAAGCAGAGACCAAGCCACCGATAGCCCTGCGCCACGCGCCTCTATTTGTCTACAAGGAGCACGACGCCATGGCAGGAGAATCCCATACTGTAGCAACATGCAGCAGGATGGGCAGAGGAACGACAATTCGTCACCGCAGGACCCTACAAAGACTTCAGCACATCCGGCGATGGAACGGGCCTGATCCCAAAAGCGGCAGGCGTAGGACGTACATCCACTTTTTATTACACGATGTATTTTGTACTCTTGACGCCACTAACTTTGCCAAGCGCAAGCGAAGTGGATGCTCGTGCCGACCTCAGCAAGACCGAGCTGTCCGCTGTGGATTACTGATGCTACCATGCCAGGCACTAGGATGGTATGATAGGACAAGAAGTGCATACATCATGTTGGCGATTCCTTCGCTCCTACAAAGGATCGAGCTCGCTCGCTTCCACTGGCAAGCTGCGCAAGATCTTACCTCGCGAGCGGCATATTGAAGCCACTATTGAAAGAAGATGCCGTTGGGATCACTTTATAAATGCCCTTGGCCCAATTTGGACCGTACTCAACATGTTCATGTGTCTGGATTCGCCGCAGGATGCACTTGGCGTACTGCAGCATGTTATTGCTATACATGCTATTGCAGCGAAGGAAGACCATGTGGTTAAGGCCGTAGCATATAAGCAGAGAGGCAGGTACTGGTGGCAGCTAACAAAATATTCCGACTGTGTATCAATATGCTTACTCCAGCTCTTACTTTCGCCGTCCTTGCGGCCGCACGTCTGGCTCAAGCTCAGTATGCCAGTACGACTACGTTCGCATTCGCCGGAAATGCCCTGCCTACAGGTCTCGCAAATTACTACTCCAGAGTCAACGACACGAAGACAGTCGGTGCTCCTTATGATCACGAGTTCGAGCCATCAATGTCGTACGTCGAAGGCGGCTTTCTCAATCTCCTCGTGCCAGGAGGTCAGCAAAACGACCAAGTGATCTGGTCTGCAGAAGTTCAGACTACGTTCACAGTCTCGGCTGCCAGAGTCGACACCTGGGCTATTCTGACCGAGACTCACGGCGTGTGCAATGGTAGGTTGTATCCCGCTGCCTGAAAAGCCACATTCTGTTCGCTCGTGCTGATTTTACTTGCCCAGGTATCTTCTCTTACGATGGCGATACTTCCATCTCAGGTGGAATCCACGAGTCTGATATCGAATGGCTGAGTGATCCAAACTCACTGGCCTTTACAAGACCTGGCATTGCACGTGCTCTGTACTACACGAACCAAAACACCAAAGCTGTCGGAAGTCCTGGCACAAGCGGTCCTGGCGTTCCTCCGGCGGACGCGACAAGCAAGGTGCACAAATACAGCATCGAATGGAGGAACGGCTTGACTTCCTTCTTCGTGGATGACGTGCCGCAGTACACGTTTGACACAAACGTGCCAACCACGACTAAAGCTGTCTGGGTGTGGAACAATTGGGCGTGAGTTGTGACTTGAGTTGAAGATCCAGTGAAATAGACGCTGACTCCAATGCTATAGCAATGGCGACCCGAACTGGAGCGTTGGACCCCCAGCAACAGATGCTGTTTTCAAAATTCAGAAGATTGTCATGGCTTACAACCCGGGCTCCAAGTGAAAAGCAGTTTAATGATCACTCTTGTAGCCCACCTGGACAGTGCCATCGCGGGCTCTCTTGAAGTGGGTGTTAGCAGGTTGATGATCATCTTGCTGTTGAGAGGATTATAAGCCGCTGGTCTCACCCAAGTGCGTTGAGATTTCGCGACGCGGTGGTGGCACCAAATGACAAAGAAGATGATATGTGCTGCGAAGGTCTCGTAATCCACAAACGTTCATACAGAATCCCTGGTCTCGAAATCTAACACGCTTTTGCATAGAATCGCAGCTTGATCGTTCAGCAATTCGGCCCACTAACAGAAGTTCCTAGCGGAGTCGTACAAGAGTGTGGTATACCGCAGACTTCTCCTTGACAACTGCAATACCCTTCTCCACCATTGGCCGTCGCACAGCCCGGTTTGGAGCAGGAGAACAGAAAACAAAAGTCTCCGTCCAATGGGGTATCGTCTGATCCTACTGTCACTTCTGCGCTTGCGTTGGCGCAGTAGAACTATGATATTGTCATCAGCTTCGATACAGCCAGCAAGCTGGAAAATTTCTCATGGCCCGGCGAACAAGGAGAACCCAGATCACCTGGTTGACGTACCACGTCCTGATAAAACTCATCGGAGAAAAATCTGTATCGTCGTCAGCAGATACACCAACCTGAATGCTCGCAAGTGCAGCGATAGATTACCCAAAATCCCAGCCCGTCTCCGCGAGCTCACTGCAATTTCTTGGACCCTTTTTGGGTGGCGGTTCAGGACAAAATTGTTGGACCGTGATGTTGTTGTTTCCAGGAGTAGTGCATGCCAGAGTCGGTATGCACTCCTCTTCGCAAATACAAAGGCTCACTTCTGTGGGTCCTAAGATCAGTGCACAGTTAGGCCCAGAACACTCTTGGAGGATGCAAGAGTCGTCGGCGTCTTTGTCGGCACAGTATGCCTATGTCCATCAGAAGGGGTACCGGATATGAGCTGGCAGTCTACTGCTAGTGCCCAAAGCTCACCGCAGAGACAATGGCAACGAGAGGGAACGATGAATTGAACATACTAAAACAGAGTAATCGTCGTTGGAGATGAAACTGCTACATGGTAAGCCGCCATTCGCTTCCGATCCCCGCATTTGTAAGAATGACTTACCCGCCGGTGATGCCTTTCTCGTCTGGGTCGTCAGCTAGCTCGGCACAGCTCCTTGGGCCGCCGGATTGAGCTTGCGCAACTGCAAGCCAAAGCAAAATGGCAGACATTGGAGCGAGGGGGCTCATGATGAAAAGCCGTAGGCTATATTAAGCGTGAGTCCGACGATAATCTTCAAAACAGACAGCCACTGAGTTTGTGTTAGGGCGTAGCTACAACTTTGCATGATCGTGGCTGTACATGTATCTTTGGAGCGTGCTCGCTGCACTACAAGCATTGTACGGGTTATCCTGCATCGCTGCGAACTCAACAGGCCAGACCAACTTTAGACTTTCCAGACCTCCAAGGGTCTTCACTGGCGTCGTAATTGGTCAAATGTCTCCTTTAAACTGGGTCGGACGTAGCGGACCGTGACTAAACGGACAGTCTAGGGCCCTTCCGGGCAGTGCGATTGTTGTTCAGACTAAGCTCGGCATTGCAGCAGCAGGACATCGAACAGCACTTGCCTCAGCACCGCAGATTGTTTTGGGCTGACCCCAAGGAAATACCATATCATCGAACTGGAACCATGGGACTGCAGGTGAAGCCCTACCTGAGCAAGCCGCTCGAGTCCCAGTAAGGAAGTATATAGATCCCTGTCACTACATGTCTAGGTGGCGGAATGCCAAGTACATCGACAAAAGGTTAGGAAGCAAACTATTTCAAGACATGCGGTGAGTCGAAGCAATTTTAAACCTCCCCTGCACTGCGTTGATGTGGAATCAGCTGAAAGCTTGTAATGATCTGTCAAATGGAGTGCGTTATACCAAACCGGCGAACAGTCAGCAAAGCGTTAGGCACATGTTCGTTCCAAGCCAATGCAATGTATCCGTATAGAAAGCAATTAACCAAAACAAGATGCAACCCGGGAGAGTCTTGTGAGTGCCAGGCTACCGTGAAAGCGATGACAGGCCGTGCGGAACGACAGTACATAGCCCTCTGAGGCACTCAATTCTCCCTTCCGCGGCTCAACGCTCTCTACCAATTTTCGCATACTGACAATGAGAGTCATCATTGCACTTTCACTCGTTACAGGCCTTGCCACCGCGTTACCAGTTCCTCAGCTGTGGCTTCACAGCTCTTCCCCGGACGACAAGCTACAGATCTCCAAGACCGCCCATCGAAAGCGTCAAGTGAACTGGGACTATAGCACGTATTACGTCTCGGATCCTTATGCCACATACTACAGCTACGGTACACCTATAGGTCCTTCCATCAACATCTACGACTACTGCCTCACCGAAGAGGGAAAGAGAGTGTTCGCCCAATGCTCTGGAGGCACTCGCCAAGAAACTCATACATCGGGGTACTTAACCGACACCGAAACGGAATCATTCGTAGCATGGCACACCGGCGGTGATCCGTTGAACAAAGACGGCTGGAATCCATTCCAACCCACCACAGCGACGGGTCGCGTCAACTCAGGAGGTTCTACCAGTCGGACAGGGACCACAGTCAATCCGGGCACAAGAACAAGAACAGATGTCGACATCGACAGGAACACGAACACTGGCGGACGCACAAATACCGGCGGAGGCGGTACTGTCAATGTCAATGGAAAGGACAAGAGTGCGGCTGGTACCAGTGGCAAATCGGGCTGCTTGGATCTCGTAAGACTCGATTCTGATGCTTATAGAGCTGAAACCTCCACTAACTTCGAATCTTAGGGGATTGCTACTCTGGGTACCAATTGCTGAAGAGGGTTTACTTTGTCTTTGTCACTGGGAGAGGGCTGGGGCTTTCCTGTTCTGCGGAGTCGTCTACATTAGTCCCATTCACGGCCTGTGTGAGCCACGTGAAGATTGACGGATGTCAGAACTATTACAACACTCATCGTTGCACCGGAACAATTGCTCGCCGCTGATGATGTCCGTGCAATTTTTTGTCATCCAGATGCTTTTATAGCAGACTTTCTGCCCGTTTCCATGCTGCTCTTCTCCATGTCGCTGGGCTGCATACTGCATCTGGCCAGATAGGATACAATGCTTACCGGAAGTTCACAGAAAGAGCAGTGCTACAAAAATAGCTGTGATCCAGATCTGATGGCCGCATGGGGGACCAATCCGTGTCTGTGGCTATCTTCACTCAATAAATTTAGAGATTGAACGAGCAAAGTTAGGACATGATCTTGCGCACGGCCGAACGCCCGCACAGCAGATCGACTTTTGATTACGAATTCGAATGTGACATCCAGGATTGTCCCGATGGCATTACAGTCTGTCACTTGCATTCGGAGGTCAAAAAGCATGGTATATCTTGCTCTCCGGCAATCCGCAACCCTTTTGACAATCGGTTTAGGGCAGCTTATTGGCAGGAGAGCCCCGGTGGGTTCTTGAGCTTATGCTCTGTAGTATGTGGAAACCAACATCAGGAGCCACGGCACAACCATGCTCTTAGTCACAGATATGCCACTGTGCGTTTGACCCATGCTCTGTTGGTATTCATCGTCAGCGCCCGCAGCGAGCAGCACAAGAACGCCTTCCTTGCACGCTCATTCGTCTTGCACCAGCTTCATAAGCCCTCGACGCCAACTTTGAACACATAAATTGCTCAACACTGACTCACACCTTCACGACTGAGACGCAAGAGTCTCCGCAATGAAATTTCTCCTACTTCTCCTGGCTGCTGCCACTGTCTCCTTTGCACAATTATTCAACTTTTTCCCCTGGATTACGATTCCAGATGATCCAGATCAGAATAACGATGATCCAGATAACAACGACGATCCAGACAATCCGATCAATAAAAATGGAGATCCAGTATTTCCCCAGCCTGAGGACTGTTCGAACTACCCAGTGCCGCGAACTCAATACTGCAGCCCAGACGTAAGCAAATATCCTAAACCGTTGCTGATGACACGACTAGGCTGACGCGATCTCAACTGCAATAGTCAGATGATTGTGGAAGTGACACATGTCTGCAATGTTGTACTAAGTACTTTGCGGGCGAGTTCGGGGGGACCAATTATTGCTGCTTTTAGGCGTAGGGAAGACTCTGCAATATAGCTGTTCGTTGTTTTGCTGGTGGTGGAAGTTGTCTGGAACTCGTGCTTGTCGATGGGATGCGGGAATGCATAGATAGGACGAAGTGCCCATAAGAACTACTTCAGCCGAACAAGTGACCTCGCATGATCAAGACTTTTTGTGGCAATCCCTGTAATGTCCAGCTTCGCACAAGTGCCAAGATATTCGGTGGGGAAAATTCCAATGTGACCGCATTGCAGCATCGCCACAACGTCGGCCTCGAGACGGCGATATACGCCTGCCTGTCAAGATAACCCCTCTATAGAGTGATAAGCTGGACGATGTCTGTGTGCATCGGATGCAGAAGCGGAGGTCCATGTCAAAACAGAAAGTTGGCACAAGCCAAGCCCTGTGAAATTTTGCTTTTGGACACGCCGGACCCCAATGGTTAATCTGCGCGTAGAAAAGAGGCGACAGACGCAAAAAGGTGTCTCTGGTTCGCCTTCCGCTGCTTCGACCGTTGTCTGAACTTGTGGAAAAAGGCAAAAAGTTGATTCGAGTTGCATCGTCCGTGAATCGCTGATGATCTGTTAGAGTTTCATGTCCTGTAATAATGATGCTGGTGCTACTACTCACAACACGGGGCCCGTCGAGGCGCACTTATTCATCTCCTGACGAAGTGAAGTGGATGGCAACGACGGATTTTACCACTAAACCAACGATGCTTCGATGGAGGGCTCAAGTTGCAAATCCAATATGCTGCTCCACTGTTGTTCCAGCTCAAACAAGCAAGCGAAGATGGGCCGCAGGAGGTATCCACCCTTCGTGTTTGGTCTCACAGACTGTGTCGGTCTGTTTCGTTTCGTTTCGGCTGCGGGATCAGGTCACACAAAGTTGTTTCATCTCTTGCTTCGCCATCATCCAGTTCGTCTCTTCGCCGTTCTCCTCTCTTCTAGCTCTCTTCTGGGAGCAGGATACTGCACTTCACCGTCCCAGTCTTCCAAGCTCAGATATGGACTTCTCAACCAACTTTCCATCTCATGCAGTAAAAGACTCGCATTTTCTCTCCCCAAAAACTCAGCCACCAGATCCTCTGCCCTCCCGTCCGCCCCTCGAAGTTCGTGACTCTTGAGCACAAACACGATGTAGACGATCAAAAAGTCTCGACTGCTCGCCCGAGGGTTGTTGTCCAGAAAATCGAATACCTTCAATTCCCGTCGCAGGAACTGCTTCGCTTTGGTCTGCAGCTCGTCTGAGGCAAGAAAGTCTTGCTGGGTAAAGTCTTTGTACTGAGATATACGGTTTGCGCCGATGTGAAGACTGGGTAGGCCCTCGCGGTAGACCCTGCGGCGGCGTTCGAGGATGTCGTCTACAGGCGGTCGGATGGGACATATGGCTCGCCTGAGCTGAGCGCGTCTACGGTATGGCTGGTGAGCGTGCGTCGAGCCGGCTACCGGCCTGGTAGTGTCCTCCTTCGATGGTACATGGTAAGTCTTGTAGTCGTCAGGTCCACGCCAGTCATATTGCACTTCCAACACTGCAGCTTTGCAGAGAGGACATGATGACTGCTCTTGTAGCCAGGACACCAGACAGAGGAAGTCAAAAGAAAGATGGTTGCATGGCGTGGCTACCGCTCGCTCGGTGATTGGTTCGAGGCAGATGGTGCAGGCATCCTGCACTTTCTGGGAGGCGGCGTTGTTGCGATTTGCAGTAGATGTGTTCGTATCATCCATACGACGTGCTGCTCTGGATCGATGCTCGGCGCGCCGGAGGGTGTTGTAGACGGACAAAAGAGTGATGGACTGTATGGTATGCCGATCTTTAGACTCGGATAGCGCCTGGAAGCTGTTCCGGTTCTTGTGTCACCGTTCTTGGCACTGCCCCTCCGCAGCATCGACAACAGGTGAGAAGCATTGGATGGTATACACAACAAGTTACCACTTCCGGAATCGAAACAACGAGAATAGTGCATCATGGCAGCCAACTGTATCTTCTGCAAGATCATCAAGGGTACTTCCAAGCAGCCCGCGGCGTGCGATACCAATGCTGAGTGGTGAACAGGTGACATTCCCTCGATGAAGCTCTTCGAAAGCGCAAAGACGCTGGCATTCCTGGATATCAATCCATTGGCGTAAGTCTGGAATGTCGTCTAACGCATTAACGCATTACATCCAGAATTGAAGCTAAATTGTATGCAGGTACGGCCATGCGGTATGTCTGTTCGCACCCCGCCCACCGTGATGGCCAACGCGAACCACGTCCGAGCTCGTTGACACGATACACAACTCACGCTTTCCAGCTCATCATCCCAAAGCACCACGGCGAGAAACTCACAGATATCCCTGATGACTCTCTCACCGAGCTGCTTCCTGTAGCCAAGGTCAGTCTTCGTGCGTCAATGAAGGCTATTTCTCAAGCTAACCTCACGTGCAAATGACAGAACATTGCCTCTGCCCTGCAAAAGACCCAAGGCCTCGAGAACTACAACATCTTGCAGAACAACGGCAAATTGGCTCATCAAGAAGTCGGCCACGTCCACTTCCACGTCATTCCAAAGCCAGACGAGCAGCAAGGTTTGCAGATCGGCTGGCCACAGCAGAAGCCAGATATGGATAAGTTGAAGGCTCTGCTCGAGGAAGTCAAGAGTAAAATGTAATGGGTTCTCAAAGGTGTACATATGGAGGCAGGATGAATGGCATGAGATTGGCTCGAGCAACACATTTTCACATATCTATCACTAATGAACGGCTCACAGTAAGGACAGGAAATGCCAGGCTTGACGCGTGCACACGCCAGCACAGCACAAGACAAGTCGTTCTGAGCATCTCCGACCAGCTCAGCGCTCTCACACGCCTCCAGCGCCTACGCGGCAACCTCATACTTCTCAAATTTCTTGGGGATACTTCCAGCAAATCCATCCTGCAAGAATTCTGCAACCTGCTCTCCATCCATCCCCTTGAGATCGAATTTCTTTCCCTCATCGGTGATGAACGTGTCCGGAATCTGACAGTCCTCGGATGCAGCGACACCTGCCTCGCTGACAGCAGGGCTCCGCTTCCTCGAGCGGAAGCCGTAGCCAGCTCCCGTGTATGGCCCATTCACGAGACATTTGAAATTCGTGCCAAAAGTTGTATCAATTGTCCTGGTACGGGCGCAATTTCCGCCCTCGTGGCCGCGGACTTCGAGATTCCAGCTATCGGGGATGCCGTAGAAACCGATGGAGGGAAAGCCACCGGTGGGGAGGCCGCAGCAGGACTGTTAGTAGGTGCAGTGTTAGCCTTCAAAAGTATGGGGAAGGATGATTGATCTATTTGGGAAGACGGGCTGTACGTACGTTGGGGTTTACGTTGGAGCAAATGGCGCGACGTGCATTGCCCGCTGGGCAGTTGTAGCCGCCATTGTAGCCGTTCTGGAACGTGAAGAGGGCGATGTCGATAGCAGAGGCCGCTGCCGTGAGGCCGAGGAGAATGAAGGTCTTCATCGTTGGGAGTGGAATCTTTGTGGTTGGGACGTGTCAAAGAGGTCTCTGTTGATCCAATAAATAAGTTCTGTTGCTGTTTCCCGTGTTGCTGCTGGACGCCATCTTGGTGCGCAGTCCTCGTGTTTTATATACCTCTTTCTTTCTGAGATCTTGATCCCATTGCTCAGGTCCAATCTCCGAGCTCAGCAGGACTCTGCGAGCCAGAGACAGCAATGCAAACCAGAATCCTCGATATGCTCAATTAGGGTTGTAAGAAATAAGTACGAATGTCAGCCGTAAGCTCAACCTTATTATTGCTTGGCTCCCTATTGGCATCCCTCCAGCTTTATGACTATGTAGGGCAAGACACTTGGCACGAATCCTCGATACCTATAAGATCGCATACCTATCGCAACGCTGACAGAAAGGCCAAACACTAAACCAGGTCAAATCGAAATATGAACGTAGGGCTCTCGACTCGAAGGATTGCAGTATGTTTTCATTGGTCGCCGCTCGCACGACACTGCATTCTATGAAGTTCTCGATGGACGTTCAAAACTCTGCGCACCGCCATCCTGATAAACATGAACGAATATTTGCTCCTTCGGGTCAGCATTTGAGTCCGATCCTCCGCGCTTCGGCGTTCGCACATCGATCCTGAACCAGGCATGTCCCAATTGCCCTCTTGTGCTGGTACACAAATGTGGACGCGGAACTCATCCCCGAGGCACTGATTCCAATTAGACCATTGATAGAAGCTCTTCGACGAGTATTCTGTCGGCGACGCTGAGTTGTCCGCAATGTCAGCTGTGGGCGGGAAGCTTCACATCTCGATCGTGTACAGAATCCTCCAGTAGCAGCCATTCGAGTCTCTGACTTTAGTCGTCTGCCCAGGCTGGTTTGAGAGAGATCAGAATCTTGCGATGGGCTTTCAGCACCTCCTCGACGGTGCTCCAAGACGCTCTACCCTTGAAAGCCTTCACAGTAGACAACATGGCGCGAACTGTAATGAGTTCGGTGATGCCTGGCATTTGTGGAATGACCCTGTCAAGGTCTCCTCCTGGAAATATGCCACCACGGATGTTTCCATCGAAGACGTGCTTCATCCACTTCATAACATTCTTCCAATTTGTTGAAGAGGGCTTGATAGCGAGGCGCATCTTGGGTTTCATTGAATGGCCACGCTCGGCCAAGGCGTTGATTCCGCGAACGAAGTTGTACAGTGAGTGGGGGTTGTAGTCCCATGCTCTGACATCGAACTTGTTCTCCTCATAGTAAATAGCCGTGGATTCGTTGGCAATTTGCTGACAGGTAGTTAGAAGGCCTGGCCGAGCATAACCGGTGTCGACGACTTGTATAGCATCCTGCTCGAGGAGGACCAGTCTGTAGATTCTGCGAAACGTTAGCCCGCGTTGCATGATAAAGTATAACTCGATGTACCTGTTTCTTAGCTCGCATGGAAGACCGAACAGTGGCGATGCATCCTGGCCGTGGACCTCCGGGCTGCTGAAAGCTGGCTTTCGAACTGAATTGGTCGGTTGCACCATATCGATGTTCGAGTCTAGAGAGTGACTCGGAGGGATGCTGCAAGATGGCGCAAAATGTGTGCGTAGAGCAGAGATCTTGAAAGTCGGGTCAACCACAGGATTGAAATGGAGCAAGTAAAGAGGACGTCACCGAGATTGCTGCCATTCACCTGCGCGCACCGCAGATTCACTGCTCGATGTAGTAGTGAATGACATGTGATTCTGTCCTGCGCAGCTTGGTCAACATCCTCCGCCTTCTCGCTAGCAAGCAGAACCTTTGTACCCGAGTACTCGCTTGTGGGATGAGAGGTTCGACTCGGCTGCATGCCATTGGAAGCTTGGATAGCATCGATCGTAATCGTCGTATGATACAGTATGTACAGTGGAGAGGACCTGTTTGTTCATATCCGGTCACCAGAATTTATACCACGCTTTGCCATCTTGCTTGTCGCTTGCAGCCTGGTACTGCGCATCCAATTCTTTCTCCTTTGCCGCCCGTCGCTCTTCCCTCAATTTCTGTTTTCTCTCTTCTCTCATTTGCTTCTCCAACCTCTTCTTGTCCAAGATCTCCATAGCCCTGATCATGCCCTCCTTCTCCGATTGTCTTTGGTACAGGCAGTACTGATACATGCCAAATGCTGCCACGCAGAAGGATCCAACAGCCCAATTGCATGATTTCCAGACAGGTGCTGGAAGGAGACGTCAGCGCAACCACCGGAAAGTTATGTACGCAGATACTCACTGCCAAAGATAGCCCTCGTTGCTCCTATCACCCCTCCCGCTCCCATCCCTTGCAACAGACTGTCTCTTACGCATGGCGCTTTATGTACCTCCGTGATCGGTCGCCCCGTTGTCAAGACATTCTTCAGATTGAATTCAGGCTCCTTGCCACCTGCAGTATGCTGCGTGCCGCCTGACATGAGATTGGCATTCTCGGGAGGTTTGATCGTCTGAGCCTTGGGATCCGTCTGCCATTGTGATCCCGAAAATGGCTTGTTCTCAGGATGCACAGTCAATGCCTCTTTGGAGAGGTCCTCCTTGGGCGAGGTGTTGGACTGCCGCGTATCGTCTGCCATGGCTGAATGGATTGCAGTCGCGAGCAGTCGCGAATCGCGAATCGATGATGCATGTGAAAATAGTGGCTGACTAAGCTCGGTTCACTTTCCCGATGCAAAAGAGCGCGTTGCATTGATGGGAGGCGTCGCGTGTTTCGACGCGCTTTGACGCGAAGCGCTCATCTCGACTTCAACATCCGCTAAAAACAACGAGTCCACGCAACATCACCGCCGCCGAGCCACGAATAACGACAGAAATGACCACATAGACGATTCAAGTAGCAGCCCGACCGGCTGTCGACCACACGACACTTTTCACCATGCCTGTTCGCCGCAAAGAAGGCCGCTCCAAATTCGGCGCCAACAAGTCGAATACACTCAAAGCAGGCAAGGTGCGAGTGGTCGATGCTTCGACCTTGCGATCCTCCGAACAGACACAACAAAACGAACGTATAGAAGCCACGAGACTTGCCCACAAAATCGATGAAGCGCAAGGATTCGAGCGCTTCGAGGCGGGGAAAAGGCGCGTAGGATGGCTCATAAATATGCACAGTACCGCCATTGAAGATGAGAAAGTTCCTGGCGGGAGAGCTGCTGTGGACTTCTACTTCATTGGCGACGATGGGGAACAGTTCAAGGCGAGCGTCGAGTACCAGCCCTATTTTCTCATCGGCGTGAAGAAAGGGCGAGAGGCAGAAGTGGAAGAGTGGGTAAGAAGAGCCCATGAGGGGCTAGTCAGAGGGGTGGAGAGGGTCGAGAAAGAGGACCTGAAGATGCCAAATCACCTGCTGGGCTATCGAAGGACATTCCTCAAATTGACATTCGCCAATGTCACCGATTTACTGGCTGTACGGCGCGTCCTACTGCCAATCGCGGAGACGAATAAGAGCAAAGTTTCAGCTATGGACACATACGCCGAGGTTGCGAGTGCCAATGCGGGCTTTGATCTGTTCGAGGATCATCACGAACCGGAACGAGACCGACGACCTGGTGGTATTGCAGACGCAAGCGATTTCATACAGGACATTCGAGAATACGATGTGCCTTACCACGTTCGAGTCGTCATTGACTTGGACATTCGGATAGGGAAGTGGTACAACGTGGAGGCGAAGCATGGACACATTACATTGAGCGGCCTGGAAGATCGGTTAACACGAGCGGATCCTGTGGTAATGGCCTACGATATTGAGACGACAAAACTGCCGCTGAAGTTCCCGGATGCAGCTATCGACCAGATCATGATGATATCGTACATGATTGATGGGCAAGGTTTCTTGATCACCAATCGTGAAATAGTCTCTGAAGACATCGAGGACTTTGACTACACTCCGAAGCCTGAATTCGAAGGACCTTTCATGATCTTCAATGAGCCGAATGAGGAAGCTGTAATCGAGAGATTCTTCAGCTGCATCAAGGAAGCTCGACCCACAGTCATGGTGACTTACAACGGAGATTTCTTCGATTGGCCTTTCGTGGAGGCACGAGCGAGTGTTCACGGGCTGGATATGTACCAAGAGATCGGCTTTCGAAAAAACAGCGAAGACGTCTACCAATCTACGCACTGCGCACATATGGACGCCTTTGCGTGGGTCAATCGAGATTCTTACCTGCCACAGGGATCGCGAGGTCTGAAGGCTGTCACAGTTGCCAAGTTGGGCTACGATCCGGACGAGCTGGACCCAGAACTCATGACACCATACGCGCAGGAACGGCCACAGACACTTGCAGAGTACTCCGTCTCTGATGCCGTGGCAACTTATTATCTGTACATGAAATATGTGCATCCGTTCATTTTCTCCCTCTGCACAATCATTCCGCTGGGACCAGACGACTGCCTTCGCAAAGGCACAGGAACTCTGTGTGAGATGTTGCTCATGGTGCAGGCATACCAGAAAGGGATTGTGCTCCCGAACAAGCACGTGCAACCTCGAGAGGCCTTCTGGGAAGGACATCTGCTGGATTCAGAGACCTATGTTGGTGGCCACGTTGAGAGTATCGAATGCGGTGTGTTCCGAAGTGATATCCCGAACAATTTTGCAATTGACACCACAGCTATCGATGAGCTTTTGGACGGCCTGGACGCCGCATTGCGTTTCACAATCGAAGTCGAGGAGAAGAAGAAATTTGAAGATGTCGAGAACTATGATGAGATCAAGGCGCAAATCGTAGACCGACTAATGCAGCTCAAGACGACACCCAACAGGAGCGAACGGCCACTGATATACCATCTGGACGTCGCATCCATGTATCCGAACATCATGACGACGAATCGATTACAGCCCGACAGCATGATTGACGAGGCGGATTGTGCAGCCTGTGACTTCAATCGGCCTGGGAAAACCTGTGACCGGCGATTGCCTTGGTCGTGGAGAGGAGAGTTCTTGCCCGCGAAGCGCGACGAGTACAACATGATTCGACACGCGCTTGAGAACGAAAAGTTCCCTGGCAAATTTGGCGCGAATAGCGCTACTCGAGCATTTCAAGATCTGAGCCTTGATGAACAGACTGGCCATGTTCGCAAACGATTGACGGACTACAGCAAAAAGATTTACCACAAAATCCACGAAACAAAGACCATCGAACGGGAGGCCATTATCTGCCAACGCGAGAACCCGTTTTATGTCCACACAGTCAGAGACTTCCGTGATCGTCGATACGATTTCAAGGGCAAGCAGAAAGTATGGAAGGGCAAAACTTCCGAGCTCGAAAAATCTGGTGCAGCACAAAGTGAGATCGATGAAGCGAAGAAGATGATCATTCTGTATGACTCTTTGCAGCTTGCACACAAAGTCATTCTGAACTCCTTCTACGGATATGTCATGCGGAAGGGATCACGATGGTATTCGCTCGAAATGGCCGGTGTGACCTGCTTGACTGGTGCCCGTATCATCCAAATGGCACGTCAGATTGTTGAACGGGTTGGTCGACCATTGGAGCTTGATACTGATGGTATCTGGTGTATCTTGCCTGCAACATTCCCAGAGAACTTTGCGTTCAAGATGAAGGGTGGGAAGAAACTGGCTATTTCATATCCTTGCGCGATGTTGAACCACCTTGTCCACGCCAAGTTCACCAATCACCAGTACGAAGAGCTAGTGGATCCCTCGAGTTTCAAGTATGAAAAGCACAGCGACAACTCGATCTTCTTCGAAGTTGACGGTCCATACAAGGCCATGATCTTGCCTACGTCGAAAGAGGAGGACAAGAACTTGAAGAAGCGGTATGCAGTGTTCAACGATGATGGCTCGCTTGCAGAGCTGAAAGGCTTCGAAGTCAAGCGAAGAGGAGAGCTCAGGCTGATCAAGATCTTTCAGCAGCAGATTTTCAAGTTCTTCTTGGAAGGCAGTACACTCGCTGAGACGTATGGCGCTGTTGCTAAAGTCGCGAACAAGTGGCTCGATGTACTCTACTCGCACGGTAACATGCTTGCAGACGAGGAGCTGATCGACTTAATTTGCGAGAACAAAAGCATGACGAAGACACTTGAGGAGTATGGTGCGCAGAAATCTACTGCTATCACCACAGCAAAGCGTCTGGCCGAGTTTCTGGGCGAGCAGATGGTGAAGGACAAGGGTCTGAACTGCAAATACATCATCTCGTCGCGGCCAAAGAACGCGCCCGTCACCGAGCGAGCAGTACCGGTTGCTATTCTCTCTGCCGAGGACTCGATCAAACGTTATTATCTGCGCAAATGGTTGAAGGAGGATCCTGGCTCCATGGATCCCAGAGACCTCATCGACTGGGACTACTATCTTGAGCGCCTCGGCTCTGTCATTCAGAAACTCATCACGATTCCTGCCGCTTTGCAGAAGATCAAGAATCCTGTCCCTCGAGTTGCACATCCAGAATGGCTGAATCGCAGAATTGCTCAGAAAGAAGACAAGTTTCAACAGGTCAAAATGACGGACATGTTCCAGAAACAGCCGCTGAAGGAGCTGGATGCTAACAGGCAGCCGTTGCGATCAGGTGGCGATCTGGAGGATTTCGGCGCGACCCCGATGTCAAAGCTCAAACCCGCAGCTGCTGCAAAGATTGTCGCGAGCCAGAAGCGGAAAGTGAGAGACGAGCCAATCGCGCCAGTCAATCCATTCGACAGCTTGCCTGAAGTCATGCCGAGCATCACGGAAGACTACGTTGGGTGGCTGAAGTATCAGAAGAAAAAGTGGAAGATCCAAAAGGCGGCCAGAAAGAGACGGCGACAACTCTTTGGTGAGAAGAGGCAAGACGCTACTGATGCTATTGGAACCTTCTTCCGAAATCAAGCAGAACTACTGTACACCACAGATTGGCAAGTGCTACAACTCCGAGAGACCGACTCGCCTGGAGAAGTCAGAGCATTCGTGCTTATTGACAAAAAGGTACACCAGCTGAAAGTTGTCGTGCCCCGACAAGTATATCTCAACCTGAAAGAGGACGACCTACCTGACGTTTCCGTCGATGGTGTGAAAGCCGAGAAGATCGTCAACCACACCTTGCCCAACGGCCATCCTAGCACGCACCTGTTCAAGCTCACTATGCCTGAGCAAGTTTACGTCAAGGAGATTGAGAAGCTATCGATGCTTTTCAATCACTCCAGCGTAGAGGGTGTGTACGAGCGGCAGGTGCCTCTTGATGTGCGTGCGATGCTTGAGCTAGGATGTGTCTGCACATTCGACGAGAGCCAACGAGGTGTCCTGGGCAAAGGTTTGGAGCAGGGTTTCGATTTGTCGACACTACGCACGGTGCCACCAAAAAAGCCATATATGGCTTCTGCGAATTTCAGCTACCTGGCTCTGTACCACATTTCAGCTGGGGATAGACAGATATATGCTCTGTTCTCGTCAACGAAAGCAGACGTAAAGATCATTGTACTCAACCGGGCACGTAGTGAGCAGGGGATGCCAAATGTGGATCGCATCTACGAAGAAATGCTCGCTCGCAAGCTTGAGCAGACCGGTGGTCAACCTTGGCAGACGACCATTGAGTACCAAGAGAGCTTGCACTTCAAGACAGTTCAGGTGACAACGCAACGACGGGCGTTGCAAGAACTCGGAGACGCCGTCAAGAAGATGCAGAAAGAAGAGACTTTGCCAATCATGCTGGTGCTACAATCGCATTCCGCGACGATGCTGATGCATGATCTGCCGATTCTGCAGAACATCCCATCACTAAGACTGAAGCCCGATGAGACTGACAAACAACTTCCCCCTCTGGGGTGGCAATCATTCGTTGCGAAGAGACTGGTCAACCACTACCTCGATCTCGGCTCCTGGGTGAATCATTTACTGGAATTCGCTCGTTATGGGAATGTGCCGCTCTGCAACCTCGAAGTCGACGAACCCCGTTTCCTGATCGACATTGCATACGCGCGCCGCTTGCAGAAGGAAAAAGTTGTGCTCTGGTGGTCACACGATGCAAGACCCGACCATGCTGGCCATGAAAAAGACGACATTTTGGGTGGAATGGAAGTCGTGGAGATGCCTTCTGTCAACAATCCTGGCACCTACTCATCAGTGTGCATTGATCTCAGTGTCAAGAACTTGGCGATCAACACGATCCTGTCTTCTGCTGTCCTGAATGAGGCAGAGGGTGCAGGAGGAGATCCATTAGGCGTCTCTGCTGCTGGAGCACAAGAAGATGCCTTGGACGAAACTTCGCATACGATCCAGTCAGAAAATGCCTTCGCCTCCGCGGGCATCAATGCGCTTCGTGAGATGGTCCGCTCATGGTGGTCGGAGGCTTGCGACGCTGGTGGAAGCAGTATGGCCGATGTGCTAGTGCAGCATCTTGTACGGTGGGTCGAATCACCATCTTCTCGTCTTTACGACCGGAACCTGCACTACTATGTGCAAGTCATGTCTCGGAAGGCGTTCCAACAGCTCATGTCTGAGTTCCGACGGGTTGGCTCTCACGTTGTGTTCGCGAATGCTGGTCGATTACTTCTGCAGACCAGTAAGGCAGAAGTTGGGAATGCGTATGCATACAGCCAATACATCCTCAAGACGATCTCGACCAAGCCGGCTTTCCACTTTCTGGATTTGGCCATCACGGAATACTGGGACTTTCTTGCTTGGTATGATGAATTCAACTATGGCGGTAAGGGTTGCGTGCAGGTGGTGGAGGAAGATGAGCAGACGCTTGACACGATCATGCACTGGCAAATTGCCACTTTCCTGCCGTCGATCCTTCAGCCTGTGTTCAATCAATGGGTTGTCGAATACATTGAGCTCATGCACGGCCGCAAGCGACCGGCTGGAATCACCAACGGTGCGATTCCAAGGGCTACTCAACTGCCCATCCACGCGAGCATTTTCAACTCCGAGAAGGATGACCAGACCACGCCAGGCACGGTTTTGCAGAAGAGCTTCTCGAAACCACTGTTGAAACAGATCCAGCAATTGATCAAGCGACAACGCACTGAGGCCTTGCACGAAGAACTCTTGAGTGATTGGACGTTCCCAACAATGCCAGGCTCACACCTGAACCCGCAGAACCCTGCCCTCGAGCTCGTGAAAAGCCTCATGCAAGTCCTGTCTCTCGACAAAACTATCACGCTCGAGGCGCGTCTACTGCGCAAAGACCTACTCCACCTTTTCGATATTCGAGAGTTCTCATCCGAAGGAAGTTTCACCAATCCCAGCAGTAGTCTCTGTCTGAAACAGCTATCGTGTCCTGAATGCTGCGTCCCCAGAGACATCGATTTATGCCGCGATGTCGATCTCAGTGTGCCTTCATCCTCTGCGAATGAAGTCACCCTGGCACCCAATTGCGAAAACTGTTCGAATGTCTTCTCCCGACTCGTTATCGAAGAGCGTTTACTCGCGGATGTCAGCAAGTTGAGCCTGCAATGGATGAGCCAGGATTTGAAGTGTAAGAAGTGTGCAAGAATCCGGACGAATGAGTTCATGGAGCACTGTGCTTGCGCAGGAGAGTGGGTGGGAACAGTCGATAAAGGGAGGATCGTGAAGGAGCTGAGGGTTTACGAGAACGTGGCTAATTACTATGGGTTGAGGATGTTGGAGGATGTGGTGAAAGGATTCAAAAGTGGAATCTGAGGAGCTATGAGTCGATGATCAATGGATATGAACGGTTCATGGTAGGGTGTGGGATTGCATTGCGTGGAATTGCTTGCACAGTGGATTTGCAGTCGGCATGGCGAGGTGTCTGGCGTTCTTCAAGAATTTATGGATGTCTATAGGCATATTGAGTGACAGAAAGAGCTCAGCATAAATCCATACAATGCTCCTTGCAAATTTCTATACACCTTGCTTCTCATTCCGAACAGATCCAACAAACGGCGAGGCACTCTGAATCACTGATTACTGACCACCGGCGACGGACCTGTCCCAGCTTCGGCGACTGAATCCAATGCGGTGAGGACCATGGCATGCGTTCGAGCAGGCGAAAAACTGAAATACGAAACGGCGACCGATACCCAAACCACGACTAGTCACACAGTCACACGATGTGCGTCACCTTCAAATAAATTGCGTGCTCGCACTAATACCCTCTATCTACAGCTCCAAAGCGCCAATAACAATGCAACAAATTCGTGGCAGTCGTCATAAGTTATAAACATCGGCCGTGTCTCATGCTCGCTCGCTACTTTAGTTTTTTCGAGCTCTCATAATCGCCGTCCTACGCTCAACCTCGCCGTCTCTCACAAAGTCAAGCTCGTGACCAAAACACTAGAAGCCTCCCCCGGTTGCGCTGCTGTTACGATTTTTCAAGGTCTTCTTGTCCCAAGGTTTAGGGACTTACCAGACATGAGTTCCCTTATTTCTGGAGCCAATTCTCAAGACTTCTCCGATACTTCGACCGAACTTGCGGAAACGGGATTGTTCGCTCTTCAAGCTGGCTGCGACTTCTTTGGCGGATTTGCTCATCTCATCACGGAAAATGGCCGTGTTGGGAGTAGGTGGCGGCAAGATAGCGCTGTGTCGCTTTGGGTTGAATAGCTTTGGAGGAGAGAGGCTGTCGTCGGTGAAGTTTGATGACACCGAGTCCTTTTGACGATGGTCCGACACGCGCAAGACAGTCGCTGAAGCTTTCTTGGGAGGACTGTCGAGATTGACATCCTGTGGCATAGAAATTGGTCCTCCTGTCTCGTACACCCGGTCGATATATTTCTCCTTGATGAAGCGGACGAGTCTGTCGATGTCGGCTTGGGTGCTCATGGCCCCTAGGGAAGCCCGGATGACACCAAGAGGCTTGCCTTGGAACTCAGCTTGAGGGTCAGAGCACTTGTGGCCATAGACGAATGCCTCTTTGAGCTCTGACGGAGACCAATCGAGGTATGTGGCTGTTCCTCCCGGGTTGCACAAGGAGCCGGAACGAACCATAATGTCTTCATCATTGGCCTCCTTCTCGAAGTCGAAGTACTTCACAAGTCCGCCACGGTCCTTCTGGATGTTGAAAGCGATGGTCGCTCCTTGCGTGCTCGCATCACCAAAGGTAACGCCTCGATCTTCGTAGATCTTTACGACAGGCATGCCGTTCGAGTGACGAAGCGCAGAAAGGTCCTTATAAAGTTTCTTGATCAAGCGACTTGTGTGTGTGGAGATGGTCTTCATGGGATTCGGGCCATAAAGCTTGCGATGCACGTCGATGGCATGGTCCAGCTCGAAGATCTGGCGAAGAGGGAGAGTTCCGTCTTCAAGGCGTTCATGTAAGTGCATTGATCCTTTCTGTTGGACCCAGGAGTCATTGACAGCGATGACCATCTCGACAGTGCCACCTCCAAAATACTTGCGCGACTCCATTACTTTCCACGCACATTTCTTGACGATGAGGCATCCGAGGTAGGGCGCGCCGAATATTTTGTAAAAGGAAAGCGTTACAAAGTCTGGTGCTGCGGCTGCGTCGGAAAGATCAAGCTGAGCAGTAGATGTGTAGGCAGCGGCATCAAGCAAGACGTAAGTGTGGGCCTTGACACGGTTCCGTATCCTTGGCGCCCTGCGATTGCTCGTTAGCTGGGACGACCAAAGCCAACACTCGAGTCAGCGGACTTACCATTCGAGAGGCAGACGCTTTCCGGTCATGTTCGATTGTGCGGGGTACGCGAATAATCCAATGTCGTTGGGAGAACATCCACCCAAGCCCCTACTTTCGATCCAAAGCTCCACTTCGCGGTCGTTGCGGAAACACCTATGCATTCTGGTCCCCTCTCGAACTCCTACTATCGAAGTATGGGCATCCTTGTGGTAACCATACCACCAATTCTTCCCCTCTGGTGCTGCAGCATAGTCCCGGAAGCAGTCATGCACCAACTTGACAGCTGCGGTCGTATTTTGAGTGAAGATTAGGTCAAAATCTTGCGGATCGGCATTAAAGAATTCTAGCGCTTTGAGGCGTATGTCTTCTACCCTTTTCGCTGCGAGCTTTGAGGGTCCATGTTCTGAATGAGGGTTGCCGTACAGGCTATTGGTCATGTCTTCGCAAATGGCAGTGTTGAGCGATTTGGCTGGTTGCTTCAGAAGAATCAGCTTGCGTTAGCCCAATTGGGGTTGCCGCCAGGGTCTTACAGTTGCTCCCGCATGGTCGAGATATGTTTTGCCTGCCAACTGCGGATATTCGACTGGCAATAGCGATTCAATGCTGTCCTGCACCTCTAGCTTGGAGTCCCGTTGCGGCATGGGTCGCTCGACGGGTGTGCCGTCAGATTTGGTAGCGGATGGCATCTGTGAAGGTATGATCTGCTGGGCTGTAACGGCAACTGAACAAGGGATCGCTGAAAAGCAAACACGCTGGAGCAAGATGAAGGAAGACTAAAAAGGGCGATTGCTACTGCTGTGAACAAACCACGGAGCCTTTGACTTGCTGAAAGCGTTGACTATGGCTAGAGCTTGACCTACGATCGGTTGTGAATAGTTAGCATGGAGCCAGGCTGTGAGCGATGCTCGAGTCGCGTCGAGCGTTGCACAGGGCCCTGCCGTAGTTGCGACACCATCCTCGCTGGTCTCGCTGTGCCACTGAAACGGCGCAAGATCGAGAGCAGTAGTTAACGCAGTATAGGAATGGTGAAGTGCGCGCCGAGCGGAGTATAGCCGGACCGTTCGGTGGATGTACGTATTTGTGCTCAAGCACAGCTGGGGTTCGTGGTGTTAATATTTCCCTGGTGGAGCTAAGTGCGCTGATCGGCCATGGACTTTTCACTTTGTCCGTAAATCGACAAAACTTGTGCAGCCCAGACATTGTTCTGGCCATATCACATCCGGTGTTCTTTTGTCAAACACCCTGATCACCAGTCTGTGCATTGCCGAGTACGTAGTGACTGCGATCAACGATATCCTCGATTGAAGGCTCTACTGTAAGCACTGAACCAGGTACTTTATCACGGGGTCGTCCAGTATTGCGGCACGTTGGTCTGGAGCCGGCATATGAGTTCGACTGAAGCATTGGCTCGCGGTCCGCCTGTGAGAAGGAGGATCCGCTTTGTTGCGTCTAAAAGCCTGAAGTAGTGCCGCGAGTGCAGTACCGTAGCAGTGTAGTTACAGGGCGCGGCCGCCGGGAACGCAGTGTCTCTTCCGCATCGCTTGATAGCGTAATCTGTAGGCTTCGTACTGTGAATAGGAAGGCTTCCACTGTACGGCGCACGCAAGTCAGATCAGGAGTAGTCCAGCGAGGCGGTCTTGTCGTGTCGAGCATGTCATGCAGAGGCGGCGTTCCGGCGCAAGTGAGTGTCCATGTTTCAGAATGCCTTGCTAGTTTTGTAGATGGCCGAAGTATCGCCAGGGATCTGATTGCGTGTTAGTGGCCTGCAGCGAGGCGTTGATGCTTCGCAAAATGCTCCGATCATGTGCTCGTGCAAACGGGATGCATTAGTGGTGCTGAAGTCCCCGAGGCACTCGGCTAGTGACTTTGTACAGTAAAGCATTCATTGATAACCACCGCTTGGCCGCTGCGGCACGGTTGGCACGATGTGCTGTGTGGTCAGTGAGGCCGATGGTCGATGCGGTTGTACGAGGCAGAGCGCGCGGTGACGTTTCGGCAGCAAGTTCCAATCTCGGCGGAATGGATGGGCCGTGCGAGGCACCGATAGTTCTAGCTCTCTTCCCTCCCTCTGCGGCCCCATGGTGTTCTCTCGTACACTGCTCGGAACACTCCCGGTCTCCTGCTGACAGCCTGACACTGCCGCGAGATGGCTGCTTCATCGACGACAGGATGCGCGAGGGGTCCGGGACGTGCGACTGTCTACACACTCCGCGCACATCAGGAGTCTTTCCAATCTGGACTCGCGGAGCACCATCGACCTCCTGACCAGGCAGCTTGATCGCGACAATGACACACGTTTCGATGACCTCTGAAAGAGCAAGGAACTGTGCGAGGTCTGGGCGCGGCACGCATCTATGCGTCACGGACATTATGAGCATGGGAGATGCTCCCACTGCTGGGCTATACGAGACACCGTTTCCGTGCCTCGTGCATCTGAGAGCGGCCAGAGACAAACAGAACTGTCAAGATGCAGCACAGTCCACCGACCAAGCCTTGCGGGTGTCTGTGCGTGTGGAGAGAGTCGATATATTGAGACAGGATCACGCTATGGCAGAGGCCGTCTCACGCCGATCTCTAACACAACTGCGCCAGCAATGGCAACAGCTTCGGACGAGCTGGAGTTACAACTTATTCGGCGACAGGAGACACTGGCCGGCGACCAGAGCCGTAGTAGGCTCTTGCTAATACACCAGATGCTGCCATTTGATACACAATGTGCGATGTCAACAACGTACGCTGGCGCTCTGCGAACGTGACAGTGACGGGCATCAGAACTTGAAATAGTTTGTTGTGCTGACTGCTGATATTCGGCGCCGGCTCGTCCTCACTGCCGCAATGGCTCTACCATGTCGTCTCTGCACTTCGTCTGACCAAGTTGTTCGGCGGCGTCCGGAGAGCTGACTTCTGATAAATGTTGCTAGGCACAGAATTGCGTCGCTTTCATCTCTGCAGACTGCTTGCATCAGACATGCAGTCTCCATCTGCGTCGCTCGCAAAGCGCTCGATGCGGCCATTACGTGCTATGTGCAGTGCAGATGCGACCTGCTTATTCTTCTTCCAAAGTACTGGAATCGCCAATCAAGCACGACTGCTCTAGCACGCAATCGATACCTAGATGGCGTTACTTGGTACGACCTCTCAACACCACCTGTCTGTCCAACTTCAACGCCATTTAGCACAACGACCTATGTTACAAAGCCGTCTTCAGAACACGGCAAAGCTTATTCGAACAACGACTATGGTCCGTAAAGTCGCGGTCATTGGGGCTGGTGCCAGCGGTGAGACGAGGATCTAACACGCATCCTTACATAAGCTCTGACTCCCATAAACAGGCGCGGCTACTGCTGCTGCTCTGCACGCCGAGGACGGTTTCGATACCATAAAGGTCTTCGAACGTCGAGAAACGGCAGGAGGCACCTGGATCTACGATGCAGATCCTGATGATATACCGATCACACCCGGCGCTTTACCACCTGAGATTGATCAGCCAATATCTCCGCCACAGCAGTTCCCGGCGATCACAGCACCATCTACACAGAATCGGTTCGAGAAGACTCCCATCTATGAGGAACTGACGTGAGTCGTTTGGTAAGGCTGTACGAGAAGCGTGTGCTAACCCTGCTCAGCACAAACGTGCCAGATGTGTAAGTCACAGCGAGTGATGCCTCCCATTTCCTTACCTCGTCTTCCCAAACACATAGTCAGAGCTGTGATCGTTGGTCTGAGCTGAAAATGAGGCTACCTCACGCTCACGCATCATCTGACGACCACTCTAGGGCGATGTCCTTCTCCGATATGCCATTTGCATATGGACCTTTCGTACCCCACCATATTCCAAGGCAGTATATTGAAAACTACTTCTCGTGGCATCAACTTGACAAATTGCTCCATACCCGAACGACAGTGGAAAATGTGCTTGCTATTGCCAACGATCGATGGAAGTTGACTTTACGCAAGCACGACGCAGCGAGACGTGTCGACGAATGGCGGGAAGAAGAATTTGATGCCGTCGTTATTGCGAACGGTCACTATGCTGTGCCATTTGTACCTTATGTTCCTGGACTTGATGATTGGCTATCGAGGTTTCCAGGTCGTGTCCAACATTCCAAGACATATCGATCGCCTCGCGTGTACGAAAATCAACGAGTCTTGGTCATTGGTAATTCGGCCAGTGGCTACGATGTCGCGCATCAACTCGTTGCATCGAAGCTGTTGAGAGGGCCGCTGTACGTATCTCGTCGCTCGAGAGGTCGATGGGATGGCAGAGAGCCACCCGACGGCATGCTCTGGAAACCTGTCATCACAGAATTCAGGAAGGATGGAACCATTGTTTTCGAAGATAGCTCAACACTGGAAGACATCGACCGCGTGATCTACTGTACAGGCTACCAAGCTTCTTACCCATTTTGGGACAAGAGGAATGGGACCCCGATATTCGACTACAAAAATCAGCGCCTTGTCAATAATTACCAACATACTTTCGTACGTGGCCGACCGACTTTGGCGCTCGTTGGATTTCCACGGGTGCTGACTTTCCGCTCGTTCGAATATCAAGCGATAGCGATAGCTCGCTTCTGGTCAGGTCACAACGCTTTCTCCATGCCATCCAATGCTGAGCAAAAGAAGTGGGAAGAAAACCGAATCGAGCTTACAAGAAGGGAGCACAGAAGATTTCACCAGATTGACTGGGATGACGGCGAAACGATGGAGTGGTTCGAGTGGCTATATCGCTTCGCAGGCTTGCCGCATATCGAAGGGCACGGCAAACATCCGCCGATCTTGAACAGTCAGACCAGATGGGCAATTGAGCATATCAGGAAGTATCCCGAACATGGCGGAGACCAGGAGGCAATAGGAATGCAAGGGCTCGAGATAGCGAGCGAGCGAAAGAAGGATTCGTTGTGGTTCGTGTAGCCGATTCGCAGACCCGATGTTGTGGTCTCGAATGTTACAGCCCAACGACTTGGTGGTGGCAATGAGAGGGGAAGTAGAGAGTCGCTTGCGAGCACACCTGCTAGATTCGACTTCCCGCCTCTCTATTTCACTCTCGTGTTGCGATCAGCCCCGTGTCACCAGGCAGACAGGATCTGTGCTTTGGCACATTATTGGAGATGTCGTCGTCCAAAAGACCGAACTGCCGCTGTTGCTTACGCGAGTCATGGGCAAATTGTCTCCACTTTCATACCCCAATACAGAATAGCGCGTGACGTCCTTAGCGTCCTCACGTCTTCGCGTGTCCGATTGCCAAAGCAGATCCAACCTGCAATTGCAATCAATCGAGACCTCCCACGCGCCCACGCCGATTCTCCGCATTCCTCTATCATTTGTGCGAACGACTATCGCGCCGTACATGCATCCAGATCTCGCAACAAGCAAAGGCACCCTCAATCAGCTCACATTCTCAAGCCGGTCCAGCCGGTGATCTATTGCTTCCATGCGCGCCAGCAGGGTCTTCATGAGAGCTTCGTTTTTGTCTGCCACAATCATTATTTGTGCCCAGAGCTGATTCGACCTGCTCTCGAGTCAGTTACCGATCCCTCAGCCATCATGCGGCAGTTTTGTTCTGCGTACTTCTGAGCTGCCGACATGCGCCCTGATGGCGCGTATTGGGCATCAACTGGTGTGGCAGGTGGTGGTTGCCAATGCGGCTTCTCGTAATCCCTCGCAGGATATGGTCGACGCACAGCTGACCACGATGTCGAACATGACTGAAGGCAGTCAGCAATCCAAAGCGCACCACGAAGCATATTATGAACGAAGCGCAACTTACGCCTTCGAGCAGCTCAGCTCGATTCCTTTTGGGCAGACCAGAACCGGTAGGGCTCAAGCGGCTTGAAGTGTGAAACCATGACCTTGTTTCTTGCTGGGTCATGCTGCGTTTCTTGCGATGTGGATCGCGATCAATGTCCAGAATTCGTTGGCATACCCAGAGGTCCACGAATTCGTCTTATTCGATGATTGAGCTTGCAGCGTTCAAGACCAGAGTCGTTGTCAACAGAGAAATTCAAAGCATACCATCGAAACAGCATGAAATCAGCCGACGCACATCGTGGACGGGACCTTGACGATATCATGGCGTTCAGCCAGCTCAAGAAATGTCCTTAGGGCAATTGCTTGTCGTCAGCTGCTGCGCATGCACTCCTTTCGGCGAAGGGCTCTCGTCCGGCCTGCCAAGCAATACCGACGCAGCGGAAGACTGCGCGCAATGACCATTTCAAATGACAAACTTTATTGCTACAGCAGCACGCAGGACCCAGTGGCTGCTCAGTCGCCAATGGTACTGAGGCAGGTACCAGGACAAGTCATCATCGTTAATCTAATACAGTTCGCGCTGGACACGAAGGATGGGCTTATTGTCGTTCTCCCGCGATCGCTTCGGCCGTCTAGTCGGCGTGGCCGACATCACGGGCCGAAAAGAGGAGAGCAGGCCGAAATTTGGGGTCACCGTCTCGGCTCCGAATGGTAAGGATTGGTGTGGGAGCATCTACGAGACGATCAGATGTTCTAGCGCGACGGGCCGCAGAAAGCTAGTGCAAGTGCAGCTGATCGTTTGACAACCAGAATCAGGGCCCAGTGGCACAACCGACCTAAGATGCTGTCTGGTTGGTCCATAGCTCAAAGGCCGAGAGACTTCACATCCTGTTCAACCGACTTTGGTAATTGCTCTGCCGCCTGACCTTGTATCATGACTCTGCTCAGGGCAATTTTCACGTTTAGCAGGCGGGAAACTTGTCTTACGACGGACCAGCGGCCAACCCAATCAGCAAATGACATTTTCGGAACATAAAATAAAGCAGCACAAATGGCTCGAGGTGATTGGCTTTTTCGAAGCAAGCCGCTCTAGCCTTTGAAAGCGCTCTGTGCTAGCGCGAGACTTGAGTTGCTTTTCATGAACGCCAACTGCCTCCACATGAATGATGAGGTGCTTGAGCGCTTGGCCATCACCGAGCCGCTCTTTGGCCCATCCACAGCTTCCCTGTTCGCAAAATACTTCGAAAGCATCTCTGGCTGACCAGTTGATCCCACGTAGCATTCATTGCGCTTGCAACGACCTCAGTCTTGGCACCCATCTTCTCCCAACGCAGTGATTGGTATTTCAGCAATGCTTCGTCAACCCAGGCGGCATTTCCCACTACAACGGGGTCTTTTGGTACAGGGCCGCCACGCTGCGCAGCACGCTTCTGCAGGTTAAGCGACAGTTCCACCTCCACTCAGCCAGCCGAAACTTTACCATCGACTACACGCTTCTTATTATAGTCGTACTCCGCAGTAGTTGCATGGCTTCTCAAGTTCTCAATTTTAAGGTTGACCACGCTGGAACGATCATTATTCTACGGATTCTGGCTAGTGCAATTCCAGCCGCTCCAGCAAGCCGTTCAAAGCTTTTATGCTGCAGCTACTGAAGGAGGTAGCGGGGATTTGCAGATTCAGGGGCCGTGTCCCTTCGTCCATCACAGAGGCCAGAGTTGACTCCTTCGCATTCAATGCCTTACTACTCCGATCGTGTTACTGACAGAAACTCGGCTGTATCAGTCCAGCAGGAACCCACAGAAGTCTCATCTCGCGTTACGGTGCTGCATCGTGCTCAACATCACTGGACATTGAGATATTTTATCGATGGCAGACAATGCAGGTGCAAAAGTGTCCCGCAATCAACTTCGAACGCAGAGGGACACCTCTGCCACGTAACTGCCAGCCAATGCCTTCTGCGGGTGCATTCAGATACGGTGACAAAGTCATCGCAGAGTATGACTTCTGCTTCGGCTGGCTGGATATGAGCATTGCCGAAGCGCACTCCGCCCTGAAAGAGTAGTAGTACTGCGCTGTAAAAACATGCATATTTGGGCTTTGACAATCACTCTAATACCTATACTGAAAGCCGTCTTCCCCTTGTCAGCGTTGTCCGATTCGGCTGCCATTACTGACGCCCTTTAAGAACCTAAGTGTGCCGGAGCTGCCATCTGAACGATGACTCCGTTCCTTTCGACACAAAGACCGCCACGACTAAGCCAAAGCAGCATGAGGCAAATCAACTTCAGCGTTCAGAAGCTCAGCACATTGCCTCAAGAACGCAAACACCTCACGGTTTGTGAGTCTGCAAGGAACAATGAGGCACGGGCCACGGATGTTTGCTGCTGTCTAGGACCACAACAGCAATAAACGCAGCAGAAGTGTGCCGCACTCAGCAGTCGCGAACACCGACAACACAGTCGCCCAACGCAAAACACATTATGATATCCAACCAACAGCTCGCAACGCTTGCACGACAAGTGCAGCTCAAGGATCTAATACTCAGCTCAGAGCCCGCACCAGTTGCCAGCTTTCTCGAGCAATATTTGACAGAAAGCAACAGCGCCGCACTCCTCCTCTCAGCACATCAAGCCCTCGAGGTTATCTACAATCGGAATAGAGCGTTGTTAACCGAGGCACGCGATACCGAAGGTGTCGACGTGGAAGTCGCTGAGCTACCACGACAGCAGGGATGGGGCTTGACCGCTGCTGATGCTACTGACACTGCAACCGCGGCGTTGTCGATCGAGCAGAGGAAGAACAGAATCATGGACATTGCACGTGAAATTTCTGAAGTCAGGAGGATGAATCGGGTATTGACACATCGAATCAGAGCGAAGTTGAAGGAAAACACGGAAGAGTGGACAAGCGACATGCATGCACTGCGAGAGGAGGAAGAACGTCGAAGGACGGCGCGGAAAGTAGGCGATACGAATCGCTGCCAGATTTTGTGAAGGCCAAGCGGTCCCAAAAAGCATGCAGGAGGATGGAAATGCCATGGAAAGGAAAGGAAAGGACGTTTTTGCAAATTTCGTAAGTTTCAGCTACGTGGTTTGTAGCCTTCCTGCTGATCAAGGTTGCTGCTGTACAGCTCATCCAGTCTGCAGTATAGTTCAAAGGCTTTCAAGAGTCTTTGCTGCGCTTCTGCTGCGCAAGATGGGATCGCCAAGCAAGACCAACCGTCTCTGTCCCTCCAATCGAGTGTTGATGCCCAGTCAATATGAGCATAAACAAGTCACAATAGCATTGTGTTCCTCCGTGTCAGGTGTGCAAAGCTTTCAGACAGCCTTTCTTCCCACGTGTCCACCATCCATTCTTTATGCAGTGGCGACAAAACTGATCCCACAGCACAAAACACACTTGCTGGTCTGTGGGAGACCAATGATTGGCTGATAGCACTTACAGCACAACTCGCCGTAGTTCGTACCGGGTTCGATGGCGTCGCGAAGGACCTTCATATCATCCACTGCGTGAAGGAAGCAGTGCGTACACTTTTCCTCGAGGCAGAAGCAGCCCATCTTACTGTGCTCGACTTCAACGCAGATCTTGGCGCAGAGGACACAGATTGGGACGTTGGCGCCATGCTCGATAATGTCGTTGTTGCCATCCAACATGGCCTGGAACATGGCGGTGCCGACGCAGACTTTGCAGGTTATGAAGCCGAGCTGGATGTCGTCGTGCCAGATTCCTCCACAGAAGAAGCCGTTGTCGTGGTCGAGGCCATGTCCGGTCTGCTCTTCGCAGGGGAGCGTGATGTGCTGAGTCAGGGGAATGCCTGGTGTCGGCGAATTGGCACGGATTGGTAGAGCCTGGGAAGCTGGTTCTTCGAGCAGGATCGGTTTAGTCTCAGAGATCGCTGGAGGCGGCAGCGAGGTTCGTTCGCATTCCATCTTGCCATCCGAGTACTGAGCTTGAGGCGAATCGATTGGAGACATCTTGCTTTGGAGTTCTTTCTTCGACGGAGAAGAGGTGAGAGGAGAAGACGCCAGGAATGAGTTCAGCGGCATTGCGCCAGTGAAGTTCGACTTGCGGTCGTAGGCGTTTGGTGACGTTACCGGCGACATCGTTGGTGCCATTGCTGGTGGTGGCGCAGATGTCATTGGTGCGGGAGCAATTGCTCGAAATGTCGAGTTGGTTGCCGCAGCTGCTAGCTTTTCCTCCATGCGCGGACGCGGCCCCGACACAAACGGCTCGACCATCCACACCGTACACTTACCAGCCTTCCTCACCTCCCGCAGCATCGCGCCCCCTGGCGGATTCATATCGATGTACATAAACAAAGCCCCGCCGCCGAAGTGTAGCTCGACTCGATCAACGCCTGTGTAAGGCTCGTAGGACTTACCTTGGACTGAACGGAGGCGCTGCATAGCAGACGAGCTCAGAATCTCCCAGGCTGGGATGATGTGGCGCTCGGCCTGGTCCTTCGGGATCCACTTGACAGAGGCTTCTTTGCAGTCCTCGTAGTTAGTGGTTGTCAGGAGGTAGTTGTTGGCATCTTCTCCAACAATACGCGGGAACAATTTGCGCGGCATCTTGTGACTTCGTGTATTGATGGTCTGTTGCGGATGTGATGTACTGATGTTCTTGGGTTTCAAACAGAGGTATGTTGATGTGTGTTGAAAGTGGTGCTGGTTTTACGAGAAAAGAATGTTGAGGGGCAAGCGAGGAAGTTATACGTCGCACCTGCTGCAAGTGAAGTTCGAGCCGTTGAGCACGTTACTGCCTTGACTTGCACAATGCTATTGTTAATGAACTTCACGCATTGCACTGCGACAATATGGAAGCTAGATTCACGTGAAACATGATCTTGCTGCTGTACAATAGCGGCCTATTGTTAGGCTTGATGTCTCCGAGGGCGAGGTTCCACATTCTCGTGCTGAAGAACGTGAGACCCTGTTTCGAAGGTGAGCTCTATTATGCGTTGCTGTGCTGCGCCTGCACTTCAGAAGAAGTGTTTCAACGGCTTCAGGTCAAGTGAGACTCGCGCACGTCACCCTCAAATGACCCGCGATCTCGTGTGCTCAATGCTCTTTCCATAGAGCAGTGGCAAGAGCAACCGCAGCATTGGCCACGCGCGGTAGCCTAGTGGAAAAGCCATCGTGTTCGAAGGGAAGTATATCTTCATCGGTGCACCTTCCGCATAATTCCTCAGGCTCCAGACATCGGCAAAGGACTATTGATGCGCTCTACCAGGCTTGTCCAAGGCACCATATAGTACGAATCGGTGCTAACGTAGTGGCCAAATCATTACGCCTCATTATTCCATCCGAAGCTGCACAGCGATGCAGAGTCATTGTGAGCAGCGTTGCGAGGTGCACAAAGAACATTCCAGCAACGGATGAGCTGGTGACATCGTGTCGATTCGAGCACGGAGTGAGCACGGAGGGAATTCAGATTTCAATGCAGGCAAGTGCATGTGCTGCACGTTGGTGAATCGCGAAATTGGAGCGGGGGAAGGTGGAAGTGAAGTTCGACGCGTTTCTTGGCAGTTGCAGGGATACGCGTTACCACGCGTGTTGCTGCCTCAGTACCTGCAGCCCACATCGACAAGACCACCTTCAGCACCATTGCCAGCAGTGTCACCGACTCCGGCGACGACATCATGGCCGGCCGAAAGCGGTCGCGAGACCCGGACGACGTTGACGGTGACAGCGAAATCGAGATCGAAAGTGCCACTTCTTCGTTCCGCCAGAATGACGCGAACCACAAGCGAACAAAAGTCGCCATGGCGCAGGCCATGGGCAGCTCGGTCGTTTCGGAGGAGGAGGAGGACGATTACGAAGAGGTGTTGATGGCTGGTTCAGACGATCCTGGCGACGGAGAATCGGACATCGATTATACCCTCCGGCAAGACTCGAGCGATAACGAACAGGAAGATGACGAGGTCGACGAGATCAAAGCCACGCAATTCGTCGAGAAAAAGCTACGCGAGCACAAGGAGAACGTGCCTGCCGAGTCGGGCGTTATCGAAATGGTGTACATGCGCAACTTCATGTGCCATTCGAACCTGACCATTGAGCTTGGCCCGCTCATCAACTTCATCATTGGCCACAATGGCAGTGGAAAGAGTGCGGTTCTTACTGCTCTGCAGATCAGCCTGGGAAACAAGGCTTCAGGCACAAACCGCGCCAAGTCGCTCAAGGACATGATCAAGGCTGGCACGGACAGCGGCATGGTCGGAGTGAAGATAAAGAACCAAGGCGAGAATGCGTACAAGCCGGAGCTGTACGGCGAAACGCTCACTGTGGAGCGTCACTTTACAAAAAGTGGCTCGACGACATTCAAATTGAAGAGCACGGAGGGCAGGATTATCACCACGAAGAAAGGAGACCTAGATGATGTTCTAGATCATTTTGCGCTGCAAATGGACAACCCGATCAACGTGCTGACTCAGGACCTTGCCCGAGCATTTCTGGCGGGAAGCACGCCGGCTGAGAAGTATCGCTTCTTCATCAAGGGTACTCAACTGGAGACTCTGGATGGCGATTACAACATCCTGGAAGAACATTTGGACGGCACGGAAGCGCAGCTGTTGACGCGCGAGGAGATGATCGCAGAACTCCGTCAAAAAGAGGTCGAGGCTGCTGGTAGGGTGAAGCGGGCAGAAAGGGCCAGGACGCTGGAGGACAAATGGCACCATGTCGCTCGCCAACATGCTTGGGCACAAGTTGGTGATGCTGAGGCGACATTAGAGCACTATGAATCCAACGTAAATAAGGCAAGGGAACAGCTGGAACACCATGAACAGATCGCCGAAGAAGCCGGTGTCCGATTTGATTCTGAGGACACTGCTGTGGAGGCTGCGAAGCGTGGTGTTGAAGCACATCAAGAGGCCCTCCGCCCGTTGACAGATGCACATGCTGCTGCGAATGAAAAATTCACGGCCAACAAGGCTGAGCTGATGAAACTGGTGGCAGAAGAAAGGACTATCAAGGAGAATATCAAGGCCCACAAGAAGGAGATCAACCGTTTGGATGCGGAACTTGGCGAAGAACGACAGAGACTTGCTGAAGCTCACGGAGACGCGCATCAACAGCGCCTGGCGAAGCTTGACGAGCTGAAAGAGGCGGCAAAACAGGCAAAGCAAGCGCTCGATGCTCACAAAGCAAAATTACCCGATCTCACACAAGCAGTCAAAGCTGCCCAAGAAGCTTTGCAGCACGCTGATGCGCCAGTCAAAGCTGCAGAGCAGGAGGAGGCCAGAAGGCGCACAGCTCGCGATCAAGTCACCCAACAGCAAACACGCAAATGGGCTCCCTACCATCCTAAGATGGAAGCGCTATGTCACGCTATCGATCGGGAGACTAGATTCCGAACGAAACCTGTTGGACCAATGGGCTTGCATGTGCAGCTCATAAAACCTCAATGGGGCTCACTCATCGAGAAGACTTTCGGTAATAGCCTGGATTCGTTCGTCGTGACAAGCAAGTACGATCAGGAGCTTTTGCAGTCCTTGTCCAACCGGGTAGGGTGTCCTGCCAACTCGATCATCATGGCTCGCGGCGCGTTCGATACTGCTGGTCACGAGCCGGAAGATGACAGCGACACCATTCTCCGCGTGCTGCGAATCGACGACCCTATCGTAAAGCAAGCACTCGTGATCAACCACGGCTGTGAACAAACGGTTCTGATCGAAGACATCGATGCTGGCAAATCCTACATGTTTGACAGCGGGCGTCGGAAGAACGTCCGGGCTGTCCTCACTATGGCGCGTAGAGCCGGAGACGGCCAAAGATGGGAGTGGTCTCGCGCTGGCGAGCAAAAAGCGTCCGGCGTGCAAGGCTGGAACGGCCGTACGAGGATGGTAACCGACCGGCAACAAGAAATCGAGCTTCGCCAAAAGGAACACCAAACCGCTCAGCAGGCCCTTGAACATGCCAGACAAGATCGTAAAGCTGCGCAGCTGGCCCTTAATCAGGCGAAACAAGCCGTGGAGAAGCACAAGCGCGAGGTCAATGCTCTCAACATCCGGCACCAAGAGGCCGATGACGACGTCGACGGGCTGCAGAACGAGATCGACGCAAACATTCCTCAGGACGGCCGCCTTCAAGAGCTGGAAAACCAGCTCCGTGAAGTCAAGGCTGAGCTTGAGGGTGCCAAGGCCGCGATGGAAGATGCAATGGGGGCCCGAGCCAATCTGAATGACAAGGGTCGAGAGTTCAAAGACGCCGTTGATGAAGCACAGGAAGCTCTCGACAAAGAGCAAGTTCTGATACAGCGCGCCGAGCAACGTCTGCAGAAGTGCGAGGATGATCGCAGAGAAGCTCTTTACGCCAAAAATGCAGCTTTGGACGATGTCAACAGGTACAAAGAACATCTTGAGCGAACACAGCAGAAAGTGCTGGATCAGAAAGCTGTCGTGGACGACTGGACATCGGAAGCGCGTCAGACTAGCGAAAGAGTCGGTATCGAAGATGGACAGACCATCGAATCACTTGGACAGCAGCTCAGCCGACTGCAGGAGGACATCAAGAAAGCGCAGCGACAGCAGGGAGGAAGCCGCGAGGAACTGGTCGCCGCTCATCTCAAGGCTCACAACGCGCTGACCGAAGCCAAGAACGAGACTAAGATGATGAAACAGACCGCGGACGTAAGCATAATCGATCACAACGGACAATGGTAACTTGCTAACAGACCCGCAGACACTCAAATCCACCCTGACCGAACGCCGCCGACGTTGGGGACTTTTCCGCAAGTACATCTCGATGCGGACTCGAATTCAATTCAATTACCTTCTCTCCGAGCGCAACTTCCGCGGACGCGTACTGCTCGATCACGCCGAGAAAAAGCTGGACATCCACGTCGAGCCCGACATGACCAAGGCTTCGGATTCTGGACGGCAAGCCAAGACCCTCAGTGGTGGCGAGAAGTCTTTCTCGACCATCTGTCTATTGCTCAGTATCTGGGAAGCCATGGGATCGCCGATTCGATGCCTGGACGAATTCGATGTCTACATGGACAGCGTCAATCGTGCTCAGAGCATGGGTCTCATGATCCAGACCGCGCGACGCTCGGTTGGACGGCAGTTCATCCTCATCACGCCACAGAGCATGAGCAACGTTGATCTGGGCGATGATGTGCACGTTCACAAGTAAGTTCTCCTAACCCGTCTACTGCAATAAGTTTCTGATACTGACTACTCGTTCTAGAATGGCTGATCCGGAACGTCGCCGCGAGCCGGGACAAACTGCGCTCAATTTTGGCGCGGCTTGAGGGAATACTTCTTGACGAACTTGATGCCCGCTTCTCTTCGATTCATGACATGATACCACTTTTAGTATGGGATGTTGTACAAACTTTGATGCGATGCCTGCGAGGCCGCTGTTGAACCTTCTTCAAGCTTGTTTGCTTTTCTGAGTGCCGTCAAACTCTGCATGCCGTGAACATCGTGGGCCTTTCTTGATAAGTGCATGCGCAAGCTAATTACTGGTAGCTAGAGGTGAAGTGATGGGCGCGCTCGACTTCTAATACCTGCTGTTTGCATTGCTGGGATGCTGATGACAATGGCTCGCGAGTTGGCTGAGGGGTTCGTTTGAGGTGAAGACATGAAGCGCGACGCGAAGAGTGATAAGGTAAGCTGCCTCATGCTGTGCGACTTTGCGGGCCGCATATGCAGCTTCTAAAGCACAAGCATCGTTGGTGGCGTGCGTGAGAACTCACATGCAGTCCGATGTGAAGTGTGGGTTTTAGTGATTGAGGCCGCATTCACTCCACACCGCAAAGTTTTCTCGAACCTTTTCTGACAACCGTCCTAACTTCCTCGACTATATACCTTACAGACACCGCCCTTTAACATCTGGACAACTCCTCGAGATTTTGGAGAAGACGACAGACAACTTACAGCACCTCGAGCCAACTCGCGACGAACCCACAAGATGCCTTCTCGAGTAGACGACTCGATTCCCTCAGAAGGCTCCGTAGCTTGGGTCGACAACCTCCCCATCACCTCTATCAAATTAGAAGCCTTGAAACGCCCCTGCTGCGTCAAGAGCGCCGTCTCCAAATCCCACGGCCACTTCACATACGAAATCGTGTTCGGCGGCAGCTGCTCTCTTTGGGAAGGCCGTGTCCGCGTGCCTGAAGGCGACACCAGCGTCGAAATTCGCCTAGCCTGGAATAAACACGTTGCGAAACATCCGAAAGGCTCCGAGATCGAACCTATGCCATTTATCGTCAATCCTCGGAACGAGTTCGGTTGCGATTCTGTTGTCGGAAACATCGTCGAGGAGGGTCAGAGGGTTACGGGTGGAGCGTGGTGGTACAGGCGAACGTTACAAGTTCAGATCGAAGATACGACGTATGATGGGTCCGTGTACATGCGAAAGACGGATGCGAGAACGGCAGCGGCGATTGAAGTCGCCAAGATCGAGATGGCGCATGCGTTTGATAAGGAGAGAGATGCTGCGGATGCGATCAGGTCGATTGAAGAGGTTCCGGAGAAAGTGAAGGACAAGAAGACGTTCGATTTCGTGACGTATCCGCAGCAAGGGCGAGGAGTGGAGGTCATAGCTGATGATGTCCATGGGTATGACTTGTGGAAGCATCGCGTTGCAGTGACGAGTGTGAGAAAAGTGGGGATGAGGAGGGATGTCAGGTTCCGTTTGCTGCTGCCGGACGATGAGGAATTCTGGTTCCAAGGAGTATTGGAGGACGACATGAAGAGGGGAAGGTTTGAGCAGCTCGAAGTAGGAGAGTGAAAGAGTCGAAGGATGACGAGGGCTTGTGGAGGTAGGACTAGATCTTCTCAGTGGACTCAGTGTTGGCTATGCCGCTCAGGTTGGAGGCAACTTGCGATAGGAATTGGTCAGAGAATTAAGGAGGGACTGTCTCACGGCAGTGAGATGTTGGATTTTGCGGCCATCGACTTCGCGGTCTATAGCCGACATAGCATCTTGAGGTCGCTTCATATGCCAATCGCAAGATATGCTCTACCTCCCAAATCGTGAACTTTGATGCATGTTCGATGGTTAAACGACGAAAGATTGGGCCGTGAGGACGGCACCACGTGATCGTCTGAGTCAGCAACAAGTTTCACTTCCGCCTCGTCGACGCCAACCAGGGGCGCTCGCCAATTGCAGACGCGGTAAATGAGCAAAGCCAATCCGGCCTAGATGACTGCCGCCGCGCGCGAGCAGGCGCGAAGATGATTACCATGGCTCTCATCTTCATTCTTCCGTGAGTATACCAAGCTAAGTCGCTCTTTTCCATTCTTCACAGCACTGGACCGGTTCCACGCGCACGAGTGAGCGCAAGTCGCGACACAATGGCCGAGAAAGATTTCCACATCAGCAAAGAAACCCGCGTTCCAGAATGGGAGCACGTCGCAGCAGCACGAGCAGAACAAGGCGGCAACCTCGAGAGCAGCAATGGCATCAAGACGCATCGCAGTAGTCCATTCGGCACAACAGCAGCCTGGTCCAGCACCTTCGATCGCGTCCTCCCACCGCACCGCACGTACCTCCGCCTAAGCCGCAAGCGCTTCCTCATAGTCCTGCTCTGCGCGTTCCTCGCCCTCCTCGCTCTTATAATCGGCCTTGCCGTGGGCCTGCAAAGCTCGTCTAAACCCCAGAACCTGCCACTTCCTTCCAACGCAGAAACCCACACGGGTGAGCTCACATACTACGCGACCGGCCTCGGTGCCTGCGGCTACACGAACGCAGACGGCGACAAAATCGTCGCAGTCTCCCATCTCCTCTTCGACGCAGCAGGCTCGACGTCAAACAATGGCGGAAACTCGAATGCGAACCCTTTGTGTGGGAGAATGCTGCGCGCGAAAAGGTACAATGCTGCTGCGGGCGAGGAGCGCAGTGTAGACTTGAAGGTCGTGGATCGCTGCACGGGATGCCAGCCCACCGATTTGGATATAACTCAGAAAGTGTTCGAATACATGGCGGATGTTGATCAAGGGAGAGTCGATGTTACCTGGGCGTGGTTGTGAGAATTGAGCAGTGAGTGAGTGGAATTGGAGATTGATTAGAAGGAATATCTATGCACGTTGATACCCCATGGAAGTACAAGTTGATGTATCATTTCGAGCTGCTTTTCGAACGACCTCGATTTCAGATCGAATCTCCCTTGAAGTCACTTCTCCGCTTCTCTCTTGGTTGAGGGAGGCGACAGCGACGACCACGGTCGCACCAGCAACCAGATCTGTCTGCAGGTGCGGTTGTCCCGACCATACTTGCCTCTGTAACATACTCTGCACTTTCATCTCAAACCTACATGCCCATATCTTCACCACAGCTTGCCACAATCTGCATCCTGCATCGCATCCAGCACAATCAACACGAACATATCAAGAACCACCCACCATAACACCATCACATCAATATGAGCACCCAGAAGAAAGCAGTTTCACGCACCGTCTCCGCTCGCCGAGCAGCCGAGTGTCCATATCGCGCACCCCAGCTTCGCAGAATCCGCGAAGCCTACACCAAATTCTCCCTTTCTCGTAGAGACTACATCAAACGCCTCAAGAAGGAAGACTTGGAAAGCACTGCGGTGGTCCCACCTCTTGCAAGATGCCCCACCACGCTCAACGAGTGCACACTCTATGAGTTGAGCAACATCGCAATAGATTTTGAGTGCAAAGCAAGGGAGATGGCGCAACGATACGAGGCCTTGATAAATGGCTTTACGGAGGAGCTTGAGAGGAAGCACAGGGAGGAATTCGAGAGGTGGGAGAAGACTACGGTGTATAATTGTGGTGAGCACTCACAAGAGGAGGGAAGGCCCGCGAATTGTGAGGATGGATATGAGGAGATGGATGAAGAGTCGGACGTCGAAGAAGATGCCGACAGAACGGAGAGGCTAATCAAGGAGGCGACGGAGTTGCGAGTGGATGAGAAGGCGGTGTGTGCGGACTCCGTGATGGGCAAAACGCCGCCAGCTGAGTAGCGCAAGAGACATCGTCAGCCGATGGGAGGCTTGGAGGAACTTTCACTGGATGGACACGTTGTAGTCAACGGTCTCGAGGAGCCGGAGTCATTACTTTTCGCGAATTAGGAGTTTTGGTCGTATTGGTATCGTGTATGAGCGGAGCTGCGCAATCTCATGGTTCTTTTTCGCCCATCTCATCCGGTATGATGTGCCCTTTATTCGCCTGGAATGGCCTTTCTCCCTGAATGCGCTGAACTGGAGCGGTCGATGAATGCGGTGTTACTTCTGTCTCGTCGTCATCTAGACCCTCTTTCCTCATAATCATGATCTGCTCCTTGGCCGAGCTGTGTCTATTCGTCGCACCAGTAGACGAATGGATGGAGTCAATACTGACGCGCTGTATCCGCTTGACTTGATGCGCTTGACTCTCACAGTCTCGTTCGATCAACGAACCGGTTTGCGTAATCTCGCCTATGCGACCGATGCCGTATTTTCGCTGAGTAAATCGGTCCATACACGACAGTACAGAAGGTCCGCTTTGGCGCTGATGGAACGCCAGCGTCTCAGCTGAGTGTGCCCCGCCGTTGTTTTCGCCGATCAGACGTGGATAGAAATGCCGCAGGAAGAGTCGCATCGTGGGTAAGCAGGCGCATACGATGATCAGGTTGGCTTCGATGCAGACCCATGTCGCGGGAGTCACGATAGCCCATGAAACTAGCCGTCATCAGCAGCTATTGATCATGCGTTGCGAACGTATCGATGAAGTTGCACTGGTATCTTGTCGATGATGGTAGCTTGCTCGGATTCCTCGTGATCAAGGCAAGTCCGAGGTTACTAGCATGCTCATGGTGATACTTACGGTCCACAGCCCTCAATAGAGGTATCATCAAAGCCAAGCGGACTAGACTTATTATCATCGTGCTGCGGTGAAGCAAAGTGGTAAGCCCAGGTTCCATGCGTACCGCGGAAGAGTGCTAGTACACACGTACAGAGATCCAACACCGAAAATGAGCATGACACCCACTTTCTGCCTGAACGCCAGGTTCAGGCGGTTTAACAAAGGCATTGGAAGAACCTGCGCCCGATCCACGGTAAATCTCTATTCCATCACTGCTCTTGCTTGCAATCATTGACTTACTAGTATGATAATGTCTGTAGCCGCATTCATCCCCGCCATGGAGAGATAGACTTTGCCCCGATTGATGCAATGGCCATATGTGACAGTGGGATCCCAGACGCGCTCCAGTGGAAGGCAGGCAAAAATAAGTGCAGCGGTTGCAGCAGTGGCGAAGCTGGTAACAAAAGTTATTGTGGCGTAGATCGAGAATATGAACCACTTTTCCGGTGAGATCCGAAGGTAGAGCATCAGTATGGAGACTTTCGCCAATGCAGTTGTCCAAACGTATAAGATGACAGAAACTCCGGTAAACAGTCCCATGGTCTTGAAGTTCGGCACGCTCAAATCCCAGACGTGGACTCCTTCGATCTTTTGCATTTTGAGATAGACGATTAAGACTTGGACTACCACCGACAAGGCCTGAGGTCAGTCAGCAATTGCTACATCGCTCATGCGACTGTGATCCTACCTTTGAGAGAAGCAATGCCACATCGTCGAAGCCGAATCGTCGTGCCAAAAAGACCTTTGTGTAGATCCGGATCGTGAGAAATATGGCTGCGATAAACATGCCAATTATGGCCGCCACAACGCCAGGGAGTATGTTCTTTGTGGGCGGATGAAGCAGATCTGAAGTCACTCCGGGAGGTGAGCTTGCGGCTGGCGTCTGCGCCAAATGGGTCGTAGACATGCCTGAGACCGGGTCGCCTCCTGCATAAGGTGCACACGGAGTTGGCGTCTTACGGCTGCTTCGATTGTATGCCTGCGTTTTGCGGACAGTAAATTGTCGCGATGGCCCGTTAGCAATCCATATAAGATGGCGGAAGATCTTCTTTGAGCTTTGAGCGCATGTGCTCCTCGCTCTCGGTCGATGATCGAGGTCTTCGTTATGGTGTTCCTGCTTGCTTGCGTCTGCGTATCGGCCGCCGTGACAGCAGACGTCCACATCGACTACCTAGGTAGCCATTCACGTGCCTTCTCTGCCGACCAACAACCGAATGTATTAGCTTTTGGTGACATGTAACTTGTCAAGCATTGAATTCCAAGCATGTCTGCACGTCGCCAATGAGGTTAGCGCACGGGGACCCGGGGAATCCCTATAGCAGCCGCCTCTGCCAGTGTGCTACTTTGCACCTTGCAAAGACATTGGCGCTCCAGTTCAATTCTGAGAAGGTCGGAATGCCCGACGCGATCTCCGCCTCTACCATGCATGAGAGTGTTCTTTCCAGAAGGCTCTGTGCTGTGACTGTGAGTAGCTCGCGCCACGTCGGTGATTCTCCTGGGACCCGACCGCTCAGCGAAGTAAGATGGAGACCAGCCGTCAAACCGTATCGAGCATGTGAAGAGAACGACCTCTGGAGAATCTGCGGGGCCGTATTAAGACGCGGGATCTTCCCGGTAAGTACGTCTCCAAGCCATAACGTGTGAGAACCATTGTCAAGATCTCGGGGCAAGAGGCGCTGCTGTAGCTCGAGGCTGATCACTGCAAGGGCAAGAAATCACGAGTTAGGGTTGCCCAGTTTAGGCGTGAGGCACACACAGCCTTGCAAACTATGCTTTTTCAGGTCAATCCAATGCACGGCAGAGCTGTCTGGGATCCATCGGCCGGGAAGCGTTTTGATCGTAGGCTGCTAAACCAGAGAATACGAATCGGCTAGAGACATACCATCTGGAACGTGGCCCCATCGCTATGTATTTTGGCCATTGCCAGCAGTCCAAGCATTAGGATCGCAGCCGTCACACACGGTACGAAGTGCGTAAGATAGCAGCGGTTGAACAGATGATGTGACCGGACGTGAGAAGACGGTATTAGCTCCGAACAAGGACCAGGACGTTGCAGCCGGCGCTATCCCGACGTCCGGCAAAGGGTTCCGAGCCCGGTAATGCTTGCGTTGAAGGGGTTTTCGCGTGTCGTTTTGGTCGCTCCGAGTCCATGATCACTGCCGAGACATTATATGGCCTTCTCTAATGTGCCATGGAACTCTCTCCTGGAGCAGCTGTGCTTCACGGATGCATAGGATACGTAGTAGAAGGTTTTGGCGTGTACATACAATGTGCTGCATACGAAATGGGCTGGAAAGCTGCGTGTGATGAGGTTCGCTGCACCGCGAAGCTGCATGAAGCTGGACGTCAGCCACTGCAACCTTTCACAGAGATACCGACACGAGGCATTTGCGTCCTCGACCCGAGCAGGTCGTACCGTATCACTCGTGCATATGCTGTAGGAGTCGATCCTTGCTGTTTTGAGCTGGATGGATTAATGATCAACCTTGGGGTGCCGCAATGCCAGGTTGTTGATGGCTGCACCGGAAGAGATCGCGCACAACATGCTGCCCGATCAAACAGCTCGGCGCCGGACGAGCATACCCTGGGCCATATGAAGCTGCTGTGGCCATAGGCTCATCCGAAGAGACCGGCCAGTATCTCACCTGGAGAGTACTTCGATAAATACAGATACCGATCAGGGAGGAAGTTTCCTGCGCGCATCCAGTGTAATAGCCACGGGCATGGTTTCGAAAGTGAACGTGACTTTGTTCGTGCGGTGTGAAGAAAGGTCAATCTGAGATCTGCCGGCCCGGTCGGGGTGGGCCGTACGGACGGCGCCAAGACCCTCCCTCTCCTCTCCCTCTCTCTCGAGTACATTGAAGACGGTGAACATCAATAACAACAACTCGTCCAATTTCGTACAACCTGCCGGGGAAGCTCTGGATGCCAATTCACCTGTGTGCACCCAGTGAAAGGCGTCAGACGCATGCTGCGCTGCAAAGACTTTTTCGCGCCATGACCGCGCTGTCCATTCGTACTGTTAATATCATCTACGATCAGTTTTCATCCATCGGCGACCAAGATCATCGAATGACTTCGGCATCACCAGAATCAAGATCATTCTCGAAAGGCTCATGTCTTGTCCCTTGACCGGAAATATCAGCCGTGCAGCCCAGACACTCACGACTACAGTGTATAGCCATCTACCAGTGTCATACTTTGCGAGTGGCTCGATTCTGAACCCTATGAGCTACTCGATAGCATGCTTAGCTTCAACTGACAGCTCGCAATGGCGACAGTTTCGAGTGGCATCGCATAAATTTCAAGACCATCATGATCGACCACAGCTTCGCCAAGCTCGCAATCACGTCCATTTTGGGACAAGTGCGCGAGGCGCCGATGGTATATGAGCTAACGAGAACCCAGGTCAGATCAAAAATCGCGAATCGCAAATGTAGTACTTCATCTTCAGAAAAAGTGCAAGATCGAAGTTACCCACTTCACTGACAGACCACGCGCGCTGATATGTCTCAACCTCCATTAAACATCGCCATCCTAGGCGTAGGCCGCATAGGCAGCACAATAGCCTTCCAACTATCCCAGATTGGCAACCACAAAATCACAGGAATCGCGCGTCCAAAATCAAAACGCCTAGAACAACTTCGTCAAGACGACGGAATCCTCAACACCAAAAATCAAAAAGCACAAATCACAACCCTCGACCACCTCAATCCACAAATTCCCTACGACCTCATAATCGTAACCCCCCTAGCCCACCAAGCCCAACCTCTCCTCCCAGTTCTCCAACAAAGCTCCGCAAAGTGCATCCTCTTCATGTTCAACACCTTCACACCCGAGAACCTCATCAACACAATCGGCCACGAGCGAACCGCATTCGGAATGTCCTTCTTCCAAGCCAATCTCAAACCCGACGGACGTCTTGAAAGCAAGATCACCGGTCCTGGAACACAAAGAACTGTCCTGAGCGATCCTCGCTGGGTCGAGCTCTTCACATCCTCAGGCCTCCCGGCTGAATTCGAGCCCAATATGCCGCTTTGGCTCCGCTGTCACACGCCCATGACCATTGCACTCGAAAAGACCATGGCGAAAGGGCATCAGCGAGGTTCTGGCGTTTCGTGGGGCGAAGCGATGGACATGGCGAACGGGATTCGAGACTGCTTTGCGTTGATTCGGAAGCTGGGGTACGAAGTGTATCCGAATGGGAAGAGGAGAGTGGATGCTTGTCCGAAGTGGATCGTTGCGTTCGGGTTCTGGTTTCTGTCGAGGTTGAGGAATTTGAGAGAGTTGTTCGTGACGGGAACGCCGGAGTGTGATGCGATTATGGATGCGATGGCGGAGGTGGCAGAGCACGCTGGGTTGCAGAAGGAGGCTGAGCGAGTGAGAGCATTGAAGCCTATGAGAGGCGATCCGTTAAGAGTGAAGCACGGATGAGATGACGTGACAGGTCATGGAGTGTGGCAGCTCCGCCAACATTGTTGTGATCGGCCAGCGGGGACACAAATGACACAACAATCCGGCCAGGTGGTAACGAAGGAAGCAACACAGCGGCAGTGGAACAACAGAGAGCAGGCAACAGGAGACAGACGACGGAAGACAGGCAGAAACCAACTTGGAACAGGAAACAAATGGCAAGCAACAGGAAGCACATTGGTGACTCAGGACAGGAGACTCATTTCATGGCTACTCTCAAGGTATCAAAACAGTCGTATCATGCTGATGTCTCAGGTTCCATCGCAGTGTGTTCTCCACCTCCCATCAAGCCATCCAGGTCAAATCATCGAGAGTTGCAGTGATGTGTCAGGTCAAAGAGCGATCAAGGCTTCTTGTCGGCCTTGAGATCGGCCTTCTTGTCAGCGATGTCAGCCTTCTTGTCGGCAATGTCGGCCTTCTTGTCGCTGATGTCGGCCTTCTTATCGATGTGGTCGGCCTTCTTGTCGATCTTCTTGTCGGCGTGATGGTGGTGGTGGAACATGTTGTCCTAGTGCTTGTCCATCCCGAGCGCACCCTTGACCTTGTCGGTCACGCTCTCGTCGCCAGTGCGGGAGACCTTGTCGGCGGCGGACTGGGTGGTCGACTTTTGGGAGTCTGGGACGGCGTCGCTGGAAGCCTGTCAGTGAGGAGTGACTTGGAGAAGGCCTCAGGGCGTGACATACCGGGCAACCTTGTCGGCAGCACCACTGGTCTTGTCGCCGACCTTGTCGACAGTGGACTTGGACTTGTCTGGAGTGACCTTGTCGGCGATCTCTGTGGAGGCACAGTCAGTGGCAGAAGCAACAGGCGATGACGGGAGGCGTACTGTCGGAGATGTCCTTGCGGCTAGCGTCAGACATGTTGACGGTGGATGGATTGAAGATTGGTTGAGTGCTTGAGTGATTGCTGGTGGGCTGGTGGTTGAAATGTGGTGTCGTTTGCTTGAGGTATCGGAGTGGGGTGTTGGTGGAAGAGAGAAGAAACGATTGAGGTGGGAGATGACTGCTTATATGGAAGGCAGACAGGCAGTTGCCCACGCGTGACGATTACGCGGTTGCCACGACAGTTCCTGCCACTTGCACATGCCGCCTTCCACAAGCACACCGCGACCTGGCAGGCACGCGATGATCGTGCTGCCGTCACTGCTGGCCGTGCCCATTGTCAGTGCCCTGGAGTCACCGATACACGAGCGTTCTGGTACGCGACCTGACGCCACTTTCCATCATCAAACCTGCTTCACTGTCCCGTCTGTGAGGCTCCTACTCGCATGCAACAAGACTCTGCCGCCTGCGAATACAAAGCAAGGCAGTCGGACAGCGTCTTGCAACAATATCCCCCTCCTGCATGGCTGCCATGTGTCGGATTGCAACGCAAGCTGGCAGCGAGAACAACTGTGTCGAGCGCGACGGCTGTTGGCTTTGTCGAGAAAGCCTCAGCCAACGCGGGCGGTGGTGGTGACGTGAAGTGAAGTTGTGGCTCAAGCTACGATGTTGCATTAGTTAGCTGGCACAAACATTGAACTTTTGATAATACGCCGCCCAATGATGTTGATCTCACAAAGAGCTGCGATCACCAGTGAAGGTTGACTCCACTTGCTTCGTAGAATAACGGCTCGGCCAATGTCATCCTCCGCGCAACCTCTTCACTGTTGCTCGCGAACATGGCGACCTCACAATCATCGCTCGCTATACAGGAGACCACTCTGCGCCCGTCTGTCCTCATTGACTCACACGTCCGAAGCGATGGTTTGGGGAGGTGCGCTTTGAGACTATCTGCGTTGGTACGGATGTTGCGAAGGCGGCTGTCGAGGCATTGAAGAAGTAATATCATCACTGTTGGGTGAGGGTCAAGGAGTATGCTAACGACCGAAAAGGGCCCATCCGTATGAAGAAGCTGCATACGAGGTGTACAAGATGGAACCATTCTATTCACGTTCATGAGGGTCTCCACTCGCGCCTGCTGTCAATGCGTACGGATTGCCCTTCGAACATGGCACTCGCTGCTGCTCGAGCGCAGCCTTCTCTGCTTCGTAAGTCGCGATGCATCACGTCGAGATATCATGGCAGTTGCCCCAGCCCTCGAAGTCAGCTTCTTGCAAACACGAGCGTCCGTATCAACACATAACAACAGGTCGACAATACAGCCCCCGACAGTCATCCCGAACCTCATCATTCAATCTGCATACTCTGGTGCATTAGCCGACCCACGACTTACAATGTCCAACACGTTCGATGTACCTGAAGACTGGGATGCCGCTGACTTGAAGTCTTTCAATGTGCTCAGGCAGCTGATTATGCTCGAAGAACCAGACGCACAAGTTCGAAGCCAGTTGCAAAGCATGAAGCCTCAACAGCTTGGGATTGTGTCACGACAGGTCTTTGATGCACTGCAACAAATGGATGTGCAGAAGCACGCCCTTTGGATCGAAGGAGGCCGAAGAGATTGGACTCCTCCGGAAAGAACCTTCGACCTTGCTGGAGCTGCCGACGATGTGGTCATAGAGAGCATAATCTCGATGTACGATTCGATGAAGGAAGCCCGAGAGGACTTAGATGTCATGCGTTCAACCTTAGCCCAGTTGGAAGCAGCAAGGACAGGTGTTAGTGGATATTACAACATGCAGCACCCAGGCAATATGGTAGGCACTTCACATATCTGCAACAGCACTTGTGGGCGCCCACCGCCTCAAAGCAATGGAAATTTGCGGGGCTCTTCAACTCAGGATGATAGCAGCCGGGGAGGCGCATCAGACCGTATCACAAGAAATTGGCGGGGCTCTTCAGGCCAGGATGACAGCAGTCGGAGAGGTGCATCACAGCGAATCAACGAAAATTGGCGCCAAAATTGGCGGGATTCTTCAGATCAGGATGATGGTAATCGGAGTGGCCCTCCAAACGAAGTCAACGGAGGCCAGCCAGGTTCTCCGGATCAAGGCGTTAGAGATCGGCGGGGCTCTTCAGGGTCGCCAGGCGGTGTGGCCGTCGATGCAACGACCTCCGCCAGTGGCTCAGCAACTTCGGAGCCAGCGGACGAGCATAACCGCGAACCACCTCGAAAGCCGGGCCCAACTTGAGAGGAAGATCGGAGCCTTTGATGTAAGACTTAGTATTGGGAAATGGAAGAAACAAATGAGGAGACTTGCAAAGCTCTCGCGCTTGTGCTGGGGTATATGGGAGAAGGAACATCGTTGAAGCATCGCGCATCATGGGAAGACTGTTTCAAAGGACATACGCAGCAACATTGGGGAAAGGCATCACTCGTTTGGAGGTAACATCAGCTTCAGGAATATCTATACCTGTATGGCAGCACTCGAGCAATTCAAATGGTACCATGACACTTCACTAAATCATTGGTCGACTGGAAAACCGTTCAGTTTTCCGCAGCGATCAGTTCCATGTGCAACTCCTTAAAGACGTGCCTCGCGAGGCGCCATCCAAAAGTTCGCACAATGTTGTAAGCAGCCAACCAATATAGACGATCTGCCAACATTCAACGTCAACGCTCGTCCTCAGCGAAATGGTGTACTCGTTAAGTCGCCAGATATTCTGTCGCTCGGTTGTGGACTGCAGCGAAAACAGAATAGAAGCCTTATCTGGTTTCAATTGTGCTTTCCTTGTCCAGTTTCCATTTGTTGCAGAGCGACTGTTTTTTGCCTTTCGTGAACGCCTTCTTGTGATTGAAATCTGTTCTCCTCTGCCTGAGGAGAAGCTCCACATTATTTTTGTTCTCCCAAGGCCGTTTCCTTCGGCCACAGTTCTCCAAGGCTTGGGAGATGATTCAGCTATTACATGCGGTCTTGATAGCGTGGCCTATAACGATCGTCCTCAGCGAAATGGTGCAGTCGGTAAGTCGTCAGGGAATGCTGATGCCCGATACCATCCGTTCGTGGTGCTCATTGAAGACAATTATATCCTCTGTCTTTCACGTCTCCATGGGCGATCTCACTGCGTTGCAGGGCGATTGTTTTTTGTCTTTTGCTCTGATTGTTCCGTCCGGTCGCAGTGGACCTTGATGATCCGAACAAGGGCCAAGATTGAGTGGTGTCTGTGCCTTCAATCCTTTCTCTCTCGTTTTGGTTTATCTCTCGGCCATGATCTAGACTTGAAGTATGACCCGATGAACCAACTTCTAAGCGATTGTCTCCGGCTCGATGGCTCACTCAGTAAGTCATGAGCTTTCCAGTTAATGCTTGACCAGGGACCAGGTGCTTTCCAACGACGAAGCTGTTGGTTCGTCCAAGAAGTAGAATGTTCGGTCGCTCCCGCTCTCTGGCCGAAGATGATTGTTTTTGCTTTTGCAACTCATTTGGGCAGCAGGCAGAGAGCACTACAATGTGGCTTCTTGGAAGAACAACATAAAGTAAAATTGAATGTTTTGATCTTTTCAAGGCTGTACAATCGTTTTACCGCATGCCTATCTCCAATGCAGTTGAACGAGAAATCACCTTCATCTCAGATGCTACTTAGCGCGAATTAAGCATCTTCATCGGCACTTTACCAATACCTTAATTCTGTCCTTTGCTCAGGCATCTCGACATCACAACCAGGGGGTATATCCAAGTCAAAACCCGCCTCCATCCCCAGTTACTCATCCCATCATCATTGTTCACCTTCCGTAGACCTAATCCACATCATCGTCGCCACCACCAGTCCCCGCAGGCGACGCTTTACTAGGATAGAAGTCGATCTTTCCACCAGGTTGCAGCACTCCAGAGCGATCGTACATACTCCTCGCTCGCAGGAACGGATCCAGTTTCCAATAGTTTTCCGCAAGGCGTTGTGCTATCCGTGGTCGACCTTCGCCTTTATCTTCATTATGTATCCATGCTTGAGTTTCCTGCTCGTAAGATTTCACCAGTTCCTGTCTTTCGGCTAGGAGTTTATCACGAGTGGCAGTGTCTTCGATCTGAGTGTCCTCGTTAGGTTGAGGCTCCGGGTAGCTGTAAGTGTAGTCTTCATCGCCGCCAAGTTCCTTCATAATGCGGTCTCTGGGGATAAATTCTTCAAGTTCGTTGACGTTTGAGGCGAAGTGGACTTTTGATGCCACGACGGGATCAAGCCAGCCGCGGATGATCTTCCAGATGCCTTGGAAGATCCAGGGAGATTTGTACACGACGACGCTACCGAGGGATTCGGGGTAGTTTGCTTCGAAGCACTTGATCATGAATTTGACAGGAGTGTAGTCCATGTTGGCCATGGAGAAGTCTGTCATGTCAAAGACGATGGTCTGCCACAAACCAACGTTAGCTGTGCATACCTATGCTCTACTCCCTCTGCACTTACCGCAGTGTCGACTGGAGGTCGGAGCAACATCCGCGCAGTCTCTATCGTGTACACGGTATATCTCTCCAGACTCTTCTCGCTCTGCTCACCCTGGCGATGCAGCCGGACCCTCACGTAACAGCACGGTCTCCCATCCTTGTCGGTCCCGTGTAAGAAGCTCTTGCCCATCCTCAACTGCGCCAGAAAATCCTCTCCCTCTTTCTTCTCGGCAGCATTTGAGCTCTGGCTCTCGCGCAAAGCGTGGCCTTCACCCTTGATCATGATGTCGTCATCCACATGCATTTCCACGAGACGCCAGTGCATTGTCGAGATGAGCATGATGAGAGCTGCCTGAACGTCCCATTTACGAGCTCGCAGGAAACGAAGAAGAAGTGCGTCGGGATCATCGTGTTTGGAGAAGGACCATAACGCAGCGCGGATCTGCTCGGGCGCGAGGGATTTCAGCGCTTGCTCGTACTCTTTCGTCTGGCCGTGCTTGTCGTTGGTCACACCCTCTGCCTCATCCGCCTTGTCCTTCTTGCTGCTGCGCCATGAGGAGAATCTCGATTTTTTCTTGGTATCCTCCACCTCTGGCTTGACTTCTGTGGACGTTCGTGGTGGGGCGGGCGTTGTGCCGTTGGTCGCGTGCTCAATTCCCGCAATGTCAGAAAGGGCAATCCACATCTCTTTGAGCTTCGTCTCTTGTTCAGCCGTCAGATTTCCGGGTCTTCCGGGCGCATCTCCGTACGGCGCCATGTCTGTATCGATTGAGCCCGCGCTTGGGGCCTCGTCCGATACTGATGTAGACGAAGATGATGATTGCGAGTATTGTATGCCGATATATGCAACTCCCACAGAGATGATGCCAGCGATGGCGAGATTGGTCAAACTGACCGCGCTGTGTTTAGGCGACGAGGATGTAGGTGGCTGTGTCGTTAGTTTGCATGCGTAAGATGAAGTGTGGGACCCGCGTTGAGTAATGAATGAGCGCGTGGGCGCGGAGACGGCGGAATATCGACAAGAATGGCGGAGGACGACAGGGCGGCGGAGCGCAGAGGACATGTAGAGGGACCGGAGGACGAAAGGTGGTGGAGGATGAGAATATCGAAAATGGACAGCTCCAATTCACTTCTCAGTCAGCACATCCTCGTTCGTTCCTTGTACGAGCAGAGCAATGACGCTGATCGCAATCCGGACCGGACCCCTCGCCAAGCCCCTCCCACCAAACAACACGTCTTCCCATCCTCACCACGCGTCGCAACGCTCACCGCGCCATCGAGCCATACCGGATCTCTTCCTCCACCATCATGGCCACCACCGCTACCCCCGGGACTGATGATACGCGCCAGCGCTCCGCGTCGCATTCTCGCACGCGATCCGGCGCAATTCCTTCGCGACCCACGACACCCCTCCGTCCACCATCTCGCACCTCTCTCCGAGCTTCCCAATCAACACCTACCGCAGGCTCCAACCTCGGCACGGATTCCCACCCACTTTCGACACTCGAGCCATCCTTTGGCGAGCTCTCAGACGCTATGGCCGACCTAGAAGCCAACATGATGCATCTCCAACTGCTCAATGACAGCATCAGCCGCTTTAACGAAAACTTCGGTGCCTTCCTCTACGGCATGAATATGACTGCGTTCTGCGTAGATTTTCCTGAAGCTCCGATTCCGCAAAGTTATACGCGACACAAGGGCGATTATAATCCATTGGATGACTCGCCGTTTCGTTTGGATGTTGCTGGACAGGGTGCTGGCACGGGAAGAAGGGAAGGTGATATAGAGGCGACGTTCATGACGAGTGATACAAGTGGCTTCGTGGAGAATCCCGAACCGAGTACGATCAAGAAGAGTGCGGCAAGTAGTAGCAAATTCAGCTCTGTGCCGGGGAGTATGAGTAGGCCAGGGCAGTTCAACCCACGAGGGAGAGGGGCGAACGCGGGTGCCGGGAGGGGAGGTGCTGTTGGTAGAGGCACTGCTGCCGCGGGACGGGCTCGTGGAAGTGGTATTGCTAGAGGTGCAAGCACAGGGCGAGGGGGTGTTGGCGGAACGAGGGGCAGCGGCATCGCGAGAGGCGTGGGCAGAGGCAGGGGTGCCAAGTGATGACAGTCTTATGAAGATTGAGGAATATCGTCGAACAGGTCTCGCACATCACTCAAAGTCGCCATGCACAGCAGGCGACTCTGGACTTGGGCGCTCACAAGGCAAGCGTGGAGCTCACGTTCTGCGGCAACTCAGCTTCGTCTCCTGGACAGTGGGAGAGCGCAAAAGACAAATGTTATGAACACCCGAATACCTGTCGCCGTTGTGTCCTGTAAGCCTGGCTATTACTGTCGTTTGTTGGTTCGCTCTGGACTACACCATGCCAATCTTCCGACTTTCCAGGCGCTCATCCCAGAAGCCACTGAAATGCCTTCTGCCGATCCTCTCTGAACTTTGCCGCTTGCTGCAATTGCGGTGCATCGAAGTCGAACCCATGTGGCACACCTGGATAGACATCCACACGCGTGTCGACACCCGCTTTAGCCAACTCCCGAGCATAGAGCAATGAATCGTCGCGCAGCGGGTCGAGCCCGTACACATGCAATTGCGTCTTCGGCAGACCCTGATGACCCGACTCCCAGAGTAGCGGACTGAATACTTGGGATGACTGATTCGGTTTGTAGAAGGCTGTTGAAGAACGTCAGAAACGGCTCGTTCACACCCGCAGGTTGACAAAGGGAAAACTTCATTTTTGGACTTACAATACGCTGTCATCAGGCCTTCCTTGTTGAGCAATACTGGAGCATCTGCGTTCTGTTCCAGGGAATTATAGTCTTTCTTGAGCGCTTCTGGCACGGCTTCGAAACCGATGGTAAGGGGGCAATTGAGCCAGATGGCTGTCAAAGGCGGCGAGGCCTTCGTGTCGCGGGCCATGTGGGAAAGAACCGCAGCGATGTTGCCTCCTGCTGAGGATCCACCAAGGAGGAAGCCTTTCTTGAGATCAGCTCCCAGGGAGGACGCATTACGCGCGGCCTGCGGAGAGCGCACGGATTAACGAGCGGCATTAAACATGGACATATTCGGAATTTGATACCCATATCAACGCGTCCAAGCCATCGTTGACTGCCTGAGGGTATGGATTCTCTGGCGCCACGCGATAGTCGACGCTGATGACAGTCGCGCTATGATTCTGCACGAGTTCCACTGCTGCTGGAGCTTCCATCTCTGGATCGCCCACTCTGCTATACATCAGCAACCTTTTCGAAGAAAGAACAAATAGCTCGCCCACATGAACCCTCCTCCATGAAAAAGGACAGCCATAAGTCCGGAAGTTGGCGTTCTCGGCTTGTATACCGCGGCTGGGATAGAATGGCCATCACGACATATTATCCAAACCCTGGTTTGCGCCACGCCAGTTCTGTCGATCTGCTGAAGCGGGGCTTTGCGCTGCATCATCATCATGTTCACTCGCATTGCTGGGAGCCGGGAAGGGTCTGATGGAAGTGGATAGCTGCGGGGAGCCGTCTCGAGGAACTATTGACGGTCTCAGTGTTACAGACAGTAGCTCAGTCCAGTGCACGGACCTGACTGACCTTCTTGTACTCGGGATCGATCTCAGCGTAGCTGGGCCACGAGCTTGAATCCAAGTGTGCCATGGTGGCTCGTGTATTCAACGTTGTGTGTGTTATGATCAAGTGTTATGATCAAGTGTTATGATCAAGGAAACGACATGGAAATGACATGGAAACAACAATCTCTGATCGATGATGCAGGAGCAGTGACCTGTATTTACTACTGACAGGCAGTCACAGCCTGGAGTCCCGTGTGTGCGAGAAGGATGCCTCATCCTACGCGGACTGACCTTCCATTCGTAACATGAAGTCGTGGTGGGGATCTCGAGTATGAGCGACACTCCATCCTTCAAGCTCCATGCTCGTCAATGTACTCATGCAGGAAGACCATTGAAGTCAGCTACTGCGAATAAGACAACGCATCTCGAACATGATAATGAGTGGTGGGCGGAAGAGGACTTGGCGGGGCCAGGTCCGCAGTAGTTAGCACTTCCTCCCTCCGAAGCTCTCCCAGCTCCCCGGTCTGGTCGGCTGATATCATGCATCGGATGCACGGGAGAGATAAGAGGATCAGATCTGCCGACATGGGCAAGAAGTTCGGGCGGCGAGGTGTGTGAAGAAGCAAGCGCCACAATGGGACGGCAGCAGGCTTCGTCGCCGAGATGCTGCCTCGCATCATCATGCAAACCTCATCCAAGCAAGCTGCCGCCCTCCACCCCGCCTTCTGTCTCATCGCCGAAAATGTCCTTCACGGCCCATTGATCGTCTCCCTCGTCCCTCATTGTTGGCACCGCCTCATCTAGGTCACTAAACTGCAGTCCTTCGGTCAAAATGGACCGCGATGCGCTCCCGTCGCCGCAGACGGCGGAGCAGCCAAGCGCGTCACCAGCGAGGACAACCTTCCTCGAACCCGAATATCAAACCACAGAACCTGAACCTTCAGACGCGGGCACCCACCACTCCGACCACGATGGCGACGACGATGGAGATCGCGCGAGCTCCGCTCACATCCGGATGGAGAGCCCGCAGCCGCGACCGCGACCTGGAATGCCCAAGCGAAACACATTCAAAGGTGGAAGCGCCAAGAACATGCAAGAGGCATTGCGGATAGCGAGAAGAAGAGAGGAGCAAGAGACACTGCTGGGCGATCACGAAGAGGCAGATGATGATGGGTGTTATCCTCCGCGAAAGAACGATGATCCCAGAGCGCCGAACCCACACAGTTCACTGCCTGTTTATACAACGATACATAAGATCAGACGGCTCGTCATCGCCAGCATAGGTAGGCTTTCGCGGTCCTCTCATCACTACTGCATGTAGCTGACGTAGATGTATGTAGACGATCCATATAGCAGCGAGCAGCTGAAGAGTCCCAGAATGAACGTTGCCGTGGTCCGGCCACTAGTAGACCATCTTTACGATCCGGACGATGTCTCGGTGGTGTTCTGCTTATTGGTGAATCGAGTTCAATTCTTACGCGAACAGTCGTATCAGGCACATCACAACACAGTCAACGTCACAAGAGCGCATCTATGCGAGCTCGTAGCAGCTCGAATATTACGACGCTTCGACGAAGATCATGAAGGCAGAATGGGCCTTTTGACATTGGCCAACGTCTTGGTTGCAGGCTTCGAGCCATTCCAGAACGCACCTCGGGAAGTGGCTCGTGAGCATCGCACAGAACTGCACTGGTCAATAAGATGGCATTTGGCGAGGCCCGAATATCAGCGAATGCTGACTGCGTTGGAAGTTGCTATTGTCTCGGAAGCCAAGAGCTTTCTGAGCGCTTCGGCATGCCAGAAGATCGTAGAGAATGTATACCGAGGGCGGATCATCTACACGCCTACGTCGTTCATCGACATCATCCCAGACCACTACAAGAACCGCGGAATCACCCTGTACGACCCGCGAAGAGCGCCAATTCTGAATCAGTACCGGCTGATAGTCCCTCGCACGAGAAACATCATCGAAGGGTGCCAGTTCGTCATACTACTTGTTCTCTATGTCGCGACAATGCTCAGCAAGTCCCGGACATTCGGACGACAACATACTCAATTCACCAAAATGGAACTCGTCTTCATCATCTATGCCATTGGCTGGAACTTGGACGAACTGGCTTCAATATGCGAGCACGGCTGGACTGTACACACCGAAAACCTTTGGTCTTTCCTCGACATCACATTCGTTCTCATATTCAGCGTCTATTTCTGCACTCGCATGCACGGACTAGTGCAGAACGATCCCACGATCGGTTGGCTGGCAGAAGATATTCTCGCCATGGCAGCACCTGTCCTCTTACCACGACTGGCGTTCTGCTTGATGCCAGAGAATATGCTCTTCATCTCCTTGCGAGCCATGATGTCAGACTTCACCTTCTTAACAGTTATTGCCTGTTGGTGCTTCGGCGGCTTCATCCTCGCAATGTGGTGGTTATCCGAGACGCAAGAGGGTTTCCTCACTCACACTGTCCTCACTATCTCAAAATGGATGCTCTGGATCTGGTTTGGCCTGGATGGGACTGGCATTCAACGTAGCGTCGAGATGCACTGGTTCCTTGGACCTCTGCTGATGATCACATTCGCTTTTCTGGGGAACACGCTCTTCTTGACGATCCTCGTGGCCATGCTTTCAAATACTTACAACAGCTTGTCCAGGAATGCCACAGCCGAGATCCAATTCCGACGCGCGGTTCTCACATTTGAAGGCGTCAAGTCAGATTCGTTATTCGCATATCGTCCACCGACGAACGTCCTCGCGTTCATGACTTTACTCCCGCTCAAGTTCGTGCTCACACCGCGTTGGTTCCACAAGGTCAACATCACAGCAGTGCGTGTCCTCAATGCGCCGATCTTACTACTCATTTCCTGGTACGAGCGCCGCTACCTCTGGAAACGTGCTCGCTTCCTCTCACCTCCTCGCAAGCACACCTGGCTCAGCATGTGGGAGCGTTTCGGTGCACACGGAGACTTGCAAGCCGTATTCGACGCAGACCCACCACAGGAAATCTTGGATGAAATGGACGATGTCGATGAAGTGCTTTCGGGAGACTTGTATGATGGGTTAGACTATTTGAGCGCTTTGCGGGCACGGAGAGGCTCTAGGAGTGGCTTTAGCGAGGCGAGTGGCGTTTTTGGTTTTTCGAGGTCAAGGAGCAGGATGAATGGGTTTAGGAGGAGGGGAACGAGAGGTACGATGGGAACTACGGGGACGAACGGTGAGGAGGGAGAATTGCCAATTCCAGACCCGGACGACACTGCGCAGCGGATTGATGGCGAGGCGGTGTGATACATTTTGAGTAGGTGGAGATTTGTATTACTAGCTCTCTGCTACGAGAACTTCTTTTCTGGACGTGGCCCAGACGGGGCTGTCCCTATCATAGTTGCGCCACTGCGCAGTCCAATCGCAGCCTCGCAGTATGCAACTCGCAAAGTCAGACCGCGCTGACTGTGATCAAGTCCTCGATCTCTTCGAAACATACTTCCAGGTCAATTCCAAAAGCCAAAACCAGTACCAGCTCGCTCTCCTCGTAGGCCTGATCACTCCCCATCCAACATCCTAAACTTCTTCTCCTTCAGCTCGAACTCCTCCATCAAACCTTCGATCAACTCGGCCTTCATTTCCTGTGCTTTAGTCTCCTGCTCGGTAACGAACTGCTCACTTGCCTCGCTCTTCTCACTGACCGCCTCCGACCAACCCACTTGTCTCTCCTCGAACGCAAGTGCAATGTGCACTTCCACAACAAACTTGACCTGATCCGCCAAATGATGGAGGAACGCCAAATCTCTGGCGACCTGACGCATGCTGTCCATTTCAAGGATGCTTTCTGGCTCGAAGTAGTCGAAATGGATCACGCACACCTTCACGAACTTTGGGACGTTTTGTGTGTAGTCATCTTTCAGGCCCCAGAGACCGGTTGATTCAAGATCAAACTTGGCCCAGGTGAATTGCCACCATTCCATTTTGAGGTTGAGTCCGAATTGGAATGTGGACTCGAGGACTGGTGCTGCCTCAGAGCAAATTTGGTGGTTCGTGAGAAGGAGGGCACTGCTGAATTTGCAGTAGTCGCAGTGGCACCCGTAGGTGCGGCGGGTGGAGATGGCGGACAACGGCGTGGTATTGGCGAGGTCTGTGGAGATTTTGGCAGGAGTCAAGCGGCAAGTCTGCTCTGCGGGATGGCATTTCGCGATAATGCCAGGAGAAGGAGTGAAGAGGTCTTCGTAGATTTGGAGGCGGATCTCTGCTGGGAGGCGCATAAAGCCTTTCAGTTTCGGTTCTGCTGGCGCCTCTTGGATGCTGCACTCGTTGCTATTCACCGCAGTATCGAGGACAGTGTTGGCGGTTGTGGTTCCGCCGACAGCCATATTCGAGTCCGCGCTTTGAGACTCGAGAGGGCAGTCCAGAATGGTTTTGTTATCGGAACTCATGTCGGTGATGCGTCTGTGTTGACGAGTTGATGCGACTGAGGGCAAATGATGTTTCTGAGTTGCAAGCCCATTTGCTAACCGAAAGTGGATTGAATTGGCTGGAGAGTGAACCAGTTCCTGCCTGGGTAGGCAAGCTGCGGCTTGGCATGCATGTGCCAAACGCTTCACTTTTCACTGGAAAGAGCAACGGAGCTGAGTTGCCATTGCAAATCTCATTGGCGCTCTTACTGCCTGCACATATACATGTACATGATCTTTCTGATGCTTATATACCCCTGATTGAAAATGGCACTCGAAAGTGCTGAAGCGAGAAGAAGTTCGATGTTCACACACAGGTTGTGGCAGAAACAACGAACGAAGGAGGTATGTTTGTGCAAGAGAAGACTTCCAAGGCAAACACTCACAAACAGCAACAAAGACTTCCGATGGCACACGGTTTCACCGAAGCACCATGAGACGCTCGCATATAGTCCTGGATGCTCGTTGCAAATAGACCCTTCTGCTTGCATACGTTCTTCCGACCTCCTCTAAACTACCGAACGTTCAGCTTCTGACTTTGTTTCTACCAAACCTGGAGTTCCCGACCGTTTTATCAGCTCTCGAAGATACCTGCAATCTCGAAGCCGTCGTGGCAGTCGACTCGGCCCATTTCCGAACGGATACCTGGTGAACGAAGCACTTTTGCTGGCAAGCAGGGAACACGATCCTTTGGAAGTATCATTGCTCCAGATCTACCGACTCAATGCAATGTTTTTCATCTTCTGGAAGTCGGGATACCCAAGCCCGGTCACCTAGACCACTCGTTAGACGATCTGTTTCAACAATCTGTCCCGCCTATTGAATCATTCTCAACCGAAACACTGCCGACCGCAAGCCTTCTGACCAACTCGAAGAACAATCAACTTGAACAATAAAACGTGCGTCTGCTTACCGGATCCCAACCAACAGTAGCAATCCAGCTCGCATAGGGAATAATTCCTGCTCCAGGGATCGGCTTATTCGTTTGCATATTCGTGCCACTGCAGCCCACGGAGCCGCCATGAATGACATCGACAAGGCTATTTCTAGCGTTGGCGTATAGCCATGGATTCGCAAACCCGATTGCAGGTTGGCCAGCCCGAAAGCGAGCGTCGTTCAAGAGGGCAAAGATGGCGGCTACTTGAGGGACAGCGGCAGAAGTTCCCCCGCCTGGATTGATTGTACCGTTGAGGACGACAGGAAAGCTAAAACCTGGATGTCAGCTTGAAGGAAAAACTAGCAAGAGGTATAGATGAGGATGGGGCCTTACAGTGGGAAAAAGCTATGGCCTGAGACATCCGGAATCCCACGACCGGCGAAATTGGCGTATTTGTTCCAAGAGTAATAGCTCTTAGCCTCGGAGCTGATGTGCTCGTCAAGGTATGTTTGTATGGCATCTTTCTGGTACCAAGGTGTTGGAAAGTAGTCACTGAAACCGCCGCCACTAGAGTTCCAAGCTTCTACATTCTCGAAGAAGTTCGTGCCACCCACGGCGGTAACATATGGGCAAGTGGGAGGAAACTGCGGGGTGAATTCTGCAGCTCCATATATTCCGTTCGCGAGGCATACTGCACCAACACCCTCGTCTCCAGTAGAGTGGAGGACAGTGCGTCCCCGTAAACCCAGCATGCCAATCATGTTGCAAATACGCTTAGCGTAGTACTGGGGGACAGTATTCTCGTGATCACCATAGCTGTTTGTGATGACCCAGGGCAGTTCGGAGTTAGGCAGTGACAGAAGATGCGTGTACAGCTGGAGAAACGGCTCGTTCGTGTTGCTGGAGATATTCGGAAACAGAAGATCCGGAACGAAAGGCGCCAGGCCACGAACGTTGTACGATTCGATGGGGAGGCCGTCTATCAGACTCACGATGCTCTGAAGATCCAAGTTTGCCTCATGCGGGATCGCGACTTCTGGATCCTGGTTGTCGATAGCACCGTTAAGTAGGGTCACTGTAAAGTTCTGAGAGGGAATGTTGAAGAGGTTCTCGAATTGTTCCAGATCTGAGTAGCTTGCGGACTGGTTGAGAAAGTTTCCAAAGCCGACGTTGCTTCCGGAATGGGGATCAGCTTGGTAGTCGCCAATGTTGTAGTGCTTTCGCAGGCAACTCAGAGTCAATAAATCGACAGAGAGCATCTCACGATCACGAGTTTGTATTGTGAAAGTTCTCGTGCAAGACTCTTGCCATGCATCGTCATAAATCGGTGGTACCTCGCGGTATCTGATGCCGTGGGCTTTGGGACTGCCGAAATAAGTCGTTGGAGAAACGAAGTCAATATATGGAATCAGATCGTCCGGCAGGGAGTATTGTGAAGTACGCAATTTGTCCTCGAAATCGTCCGTATAGAGCTGGAAGTTGGCAGAAAGCATTTTGTTCGCTAATTCGATCGTGGTCTCAAAGCAAACTGTATGCCCGTCTGAGGTGATGGATGTTGCGCCATTGTTCTTGAGCCAGTTCGTTACAACTTCAGCAGACTCTTTCGATGGGGCAAATAGTTTGTTGATGTCTTCGAGGTCGAGATATTGGCCATATTGCGAACTTCCAGGATCAGAAATCTCCTTCAATCTAGATTCGAGCTGATCGAGGTTTGAGTACGACAAAGCAATTTGCAGGTGGATGGTACTGTTGTCGGGAACCGATTGCGAGCTTTCCTTCCATCCGTATGGCAATCTTGAAAGCTGTTCGTGAATGGCGGCGAGAGTAGGCACAGCCAATGTTAGTAGAGCAAGTTTGCTCAGCATGATCACCACTGCGATTGCTGGTGGATGTGCAGCATTGAGGTCAAAGAATGATTCATGTGGCCAGTCCTGGCTCTTGTCGCGTGCTAGAGAAGTCACCAGGGGGTGTTCACTACAGTCCGTGATATGCCTTCGGTGATCGGAAAGCAGGGCCTCTAGCTTTATGTTTCCACTCTCAAGAATCTGAACTGGTCGTTCCTGGACACCATGAGCTGCGTGATTGGCAGTGACCCATGCAAAATTGCAGAGTAGACGTCCTGCTCTGTGCTCAGTACCCGCGTATGCATATGACGGACCGTACTGCCCGAGCAAATGCAGGAAGTAGTCAGACAGCAGTTCAGCTGATTCTTTCTTGCTCGACCATTTGCCTGTTGCAATTCAATTCTGGAACAAATCCGTTACATAGATTGGATCTCTTTGTGCGCGCACACTTTCTCGAATACGCAGGCTACAGGGATGGAAATGTTGATTCATAACTTAATTTCGCCATCGGCCGGCAATTGCAAGCATATGTTGTTTTGAAGATCTGGAACTCTTACCAATACGGCTCTTTGTAGATGGCCACCAGGTGTTGAACTCCGCAAGTTCGTGCAGCGCTGCGTATTCCGTGAGTATAAGCAGTCCATTCTGGTCGAGAACGAACCCCAGGACAAACAGGACAAAGGGAATACAAGGTTCAGCCCTTTAGAGTTCCTCTTCCATCTACTAAAGTTTCCCAGATCACTAAGCCAAGCATCATATTTTCGCAGGCTCCACGCGATGCTGGGACTGACCTTGAAATCTCTGCTCTGGTAGTGGAGGATGAGTGCTTTGGAAAAGGCTCGGAGGCAGAACATGGAACTCGTGTGCTCAGAACGTCTTGAACATAGTCCCATTGATGCGCGAAAAAGCTATTCAATGTTAGCGAGACCAGACCAAATCATACTTTCGTAGACATCTTCTCGCATTGTCGTTTTCGTGAAACATTAAGGTAAACTCCAACCTCGACTTCGTGACCAATATCCTCATGCGCGACCAATCCCCACAAGATTACACTCCACTTCCCTCATCCATAATCCCACTCACACCAACATAGTCGTTCCACGCCGAGCAAGTATCGTTCAACTTATCCTCATCATATAGCGCAGCAATTTCGTCGTATCGTTCAATGAACTGTAAAGCAAAACCTTCTTCGGTATGCCAGCCGATATCTGGATATCAAACATCACGAATTAGCCACCACACACACCAAAAGCACGATGGAGGAGCTTCTGAACTTACGACAATGACACAACCAAGCACCAGGGTTATCGGTGTAGAACGCAATAACCACATATCCTGAAGCCGGCAACATAGTCACATCTCGTCGGATAGGATTCGTAGTCTGCAAAGTAGGCGCAGCAGATTCGTACGAGCCCGTTCCTTGCGCAAGCTGGTAAAAATCGTGGCCGTGAAGATGGATAGGATGAGCGACGCCCATTTTGGTTTCGATGATGATGACAGACCAGGTGTTGGCCTCGGGTAGCTCGATGACACCGGAAGAGGAAGCCCAGTTGGTGTCGTTGTTGAAGATTTGGAGGGCAGATGGGTTGGCCCACTCTACGTCCATTGACGTGCCTCCGATATACCCTAAAATTCGAACCGAGGTGTTACTATTTAAGTTGAGCGGCAGGTAAGACTCATCGAAAATCGCGAGTGGTCTGCTTACATTTGAAGAGCTTGGCTGCGTTCTTGCTGACACTGACAGCGAGGTCATCTTGAATCGCTGCAGCAGTTGATGCGTCGAGCGGTAAGTACGGCACGAGGCTCTTGGACTTCTCTCCAAAGCAGTCGAGTTGATCATAAACTTGGCTGCTGGTCTGCGGCGTGCCTGTGCTGGAATCATAATGAATGATACCTTTGATGTCGTCACTGTTGTCGTTATCAGAGCAGAAAGAGTCCGGTACAGCACGTAACCAGAAGTCCGAGGCAACATCTCCCTGATCAGCAGTGATGATAACATCGTAACGCTGTCCCATTCCAATGCTCAATCGCTCTGTGGTGTACGGCACAATCGGCACAAAGTCAGCTGCAATGACCTTGAGAGTGTGGTTGTCGATGCTGAAATCCCAGTGAGTGTCAATGGCGGCGTTAACAAGACGGAGAAGGTATGTCGATCCAGATGTGAGGCTCGTCTCCCAGCGAGAACCCAAGTCACCCCAGACATTTGTGCCGTTGATCAGTCCAGTATCTAGCGTTGGTGGGCCTACATGACAAGTCAGTCGTCGGTTGAACGTTGCAATACAACGCGATGTGCTCACCAGAAGTCTGAGCGTAACTGTACAGCGAATCCACTGTGTCGTGGTCCCAATCGGCGAGGAGCATCACCCCAATCTCCTCGTCATAGTTCGCCGTCGCTGGCCCATGAATGACCATACCGCCGAAGACTCCTTCCCATGCTTGTAAGGAGTAGTGAGAATGATACCACGAAGTGCCGTATTGAGTAGCTCGCCTGTTGTAGGTTCAGCTTGTAGATTCCAGTGAAGACCCGAAAGTGCAGACTTACCATGTGTATGTAATGGAATCTCCTGGCGCAGTTGTACATTGTGTGATTGAAGGCACGCCATCATCCTGATTGGTATAGTTCTGCCTAATGCCATGGAAGTGAATGCCGGTGCCATTGTTGGTCAAGCTGTTCTTGACATGGACCACAAAGGTATCGCCCCAATTTCCTTCCAGTGTCGGTCCGGGCACTGAGCCATTGATCGATAGTACAACCCGTTCGACTCCATCAGGGGCAAGTGTCGTGTTTGTGACTTCGAGCCAGTATTCTCTGGTAACGCCAGTGTCGGGAACTTCGTCGTACCAGTTCGTGTTCAAGTCGTAGCCACACCAGACACTTCGATCTTCGGCCGTGTTTCCATCGCAGCTGTCCCGTTGCGCGATGGCTGAGGAGTCAGGACGCTGAACAGAGAGAGCACCAACGACGCTCGCAGCACAGGCAATGAACTTGAGGACCTGCATCTTGCCCAATGGTATGAATGCTCAACGAAATGATGGGAACGAAGGCAGTCTCAGCGCTGCGTGAGGACGATAATGTACTTTACCAATGGAAGGCAAAGCATTGGGTTGCGCGCGTAGGCTCTGCTCCATCGCATCGTAATCGGATCTTTCATCCAGTTTCCACGATCCTAATGTGGCCAAAAGATAAGAATAGCTTGTTGACGATGATCCTTACAAGCGGGCCTACTTCGCAGGAGTCTATCGCACAAAAGCGGACGACCAGGTGGATTCCATGTGTGGAGCGAGCCTCTTCTGGTATATTCAACGCTAAAGGAAGTGATGTTTTCGGTCTCGCATTCGAGCAGTGTCCACTCTTTTCGCCCACCTCTCCCGATGATATGCCTTTCAGAGTTACGTTCCGATGATGACTTTGCTGTCTTGGCGCACAGCTGTTCCTGAAGTATTCAGCCCTGCTTGAACCGGCTGGTGAGGCTCCAAGACAACAAGCCTGACCGAGAACATTTGACGAGTGTGTGTCGAAGGTTAACAGAAGCTGCGCTACGCATTCGCTCCACTCATTGCGAATCCTCTCGCTTGGATGCTGTTCTACGGTTTCCGGTAGTACGCGGCCACTACTTGCGCGCTGACGTTCTTTCGGGCGTAATCGTAGCAGCCACTGCTTCCACACTCAAGCAAGTTGCTCGCGTACTGCTAGTTGCAGATGCAGCTGCGCGCTCGGCAAGCCGAATCCGCATCATCCACAACTGCAACTTGAAGTGCAAGCAGAAGTAGACCTGGTCGAACTCAGTAGCGTGAAGGAATTTCCCCGGTAGTCTGTAGCTTGCTGCATAGGACGCTGTGCAGTGGTATCAGCATATGACCGCACTGCGGCACAAATCGAAGCTAATGCTAGAATTTTCCGATCGATCCAGATTATCGTTGGCTAAGTCTCCATGGTCGTGTCATTCATGTCTAAATGTAGGCATTGCGACCAGTGACTACTGGTGCAGTGGTGCGGCGGTTCGACGCTACTGAATAGCCCCATCGATCCACACGGAGAAAACTGTGTCCAGTGCGTCTCCACATCTAGTCATAGACGCTCGGGGGCTCCGTGCAGCCAACGGAGTCGCGTCCGATAGTAGCGGAGGCGCGGAGGTATAGCACATATGCGTTCGATCTAGCGTTGCTCAGTCATAGGAGACGTCCATACTGGTGGCGACTTTTAGTAATATGACGCGTGCAGCGGTGAATGCGGCAGTATGTGGATTCGAAGGCGCCGGTGACCAGGTGGGCCACGAGATATCTTCAAGAGACCACGAGGCCGGCAGCCGTATCGCATGACAATCAGCCCTGTCGAGCCTGTGAGCGCTATATGTGGTTTTCATCAAGCGATTGAGAAGGTCGCACGTGGTTCTCGTGGAGTCAGTGCACGACCGGACCAACATCGCTTGGGATCCGCAATCGAGTGCAGCGCCACGCAAGCGGCCTGATGAGTTTTCGGTTGAACTTCTCCAGAAGGTGGTCGGTGGCTTGCAGCCTTGGGTATTGCCAAAACGACGCATTGGGGCGATCACTCTTGTCGACAGGAGACTCCTCATAACTGCTGCTTCCAGAGCCGGCCAACAGCAAAATTACCTTGAACGCTCCCTTCGTCCCTCTCGGCCGCACACCCTTTCTCGCTTGCATCATGCTTTGCACCAACTTGAAGACTCTGGCCTGCCTGGCTTTAGGCGCGGTGAGCGCTCTTGCACACGACACCGCGCTCTGGGGCTATGGCTTTGGCATACATGGAATGCCTCTCTTCTATAGCGACGGTATGTATTGAGATGCGCTGTTTGACGACCAGACTTGTTGATGAGTGGTATCCAGGTTTCGCATATCTTGGTCATGAGGCACCCGCAAATGCCCTGGTGTCCACAAATATATCCTGTAAGCAACCTCGTCAGCTATGATTTCCTGGTGCTTGAATCACTCAGAGATGCTCATTCATGCCGTTCTGAAATCCAGTAGTCACGATCTCAGGGGGCGGTAGTTTCACCGCCAAGCCCGTCAATTCGACACTGTCCGACTGGACATCGCCCAAGCTCAGTATCGACAACAACCCTGGGGCATTGTCGCCAGTCAGCTTCAGTTCTGGAGAGAATTCGAGCTTGACCACCAGTGGTTTCGACCTGTGGGGGACTCTTCTCATCTGGGTCAGCAATGAGGGTGCTGTACGTTGCGCGACCACCTCCACGCAGTCTCTGCTCAGCTAATCGTGCAACAGGTGGACATCAAATGGTATGCTGAGCCAGTCGATGCTTACAACAGGACATGGGCTTTGAAGTGGAACGTTGACAACATCGTCGGCAACCAAGCCATACCCATCGCGCTCAAGACGCTGCCGCCTTCCAGCCAGAGACGTGGTAGATCGCGGCTGTTCTCTTGAGTTGGCTCGAGGTGGCCAATGCAAGGAAGCATTAGTTGTCGAATAGCTTTGGACGTTGGGTTCCAACATTGTATAGATATCAGAATCACGTTCGCGATGGTGCGAGATGAGTCGAAGCCATTCCTTTTCCGCTCTGCTAGCATCGGCTGATCTTGATGCCATGGCAATGAGAATCCGACGGTGTGATGTGTTCCATGGACACATCAAGCGCGCTGATGATCAAGGTGTCTCTAAGAATCAAATTTGCAGGTTCGATAGCCAATTCTCGATTTCAGCCCGAGCTGTATATCCCGTTCAATCGAAACCCGAAGAACGGTCATCAACCCAGCGCCGGCGTTCTTGCGAGCCATCTGCCAGCGTTCTCCAAGAGAGTTGTGGTATGCCATGCATTGCGGCCAGCAACCCAAGGGATGGAGTGCTGACGAGAAGAGTGGAAGTCGTGATGAGACGCGTCAAGGCGACAGAATTGGTGGTGTTGTTGTCGAGGAGTCGCGTCGTGCCAATCAGGGACGCGGGGAAAGAACGACGCAGCCAATGACGTCGCGGCATTTCGTCTGTCGTTCTGGAGAAAGTGCGGATCACGAATCAGGCTGAGAAAGTGCCCAGAAGTGTGGTTCGGCTTGGAACAGGAGTCTCACGTAGGGATGTGGGTATACGGTATATTTAGAATCCGGGCTGTTTATATAATATATCTACCCAAATATACCTATTAGTATACCTTATATACTAAACTAAGAGAGGATTAGCGCGCCTAGCTACTATAATCTCGCGTTTTATCTCGCTAATTTATATATCTTATATAGTTACTTAATTATAGCTATATAGTATTTCTATTACTATAGTAGTTACTATTACTATATCCTTAGCTTATAATATAAATAGTTCGTCGTCGCTTCTAGCTTAATATAGTCGTTTAGTTAGCTATATATTATAGTAAATTAAGTCGTTATATTATTACTAATTTATAGTATCGAACGCCTTATATACTACGTTCTATCTACTATTAAAGAAGTTATTATTATCTAAGGTATTATCGTCTATATAGTACTTAATTCGAAGGTTCTAATAGTAGTAAACTAGTATTTTAATATAAGTATAACTTAGTCGATTATAGTATATATTCTAAATAAATCTATAAGCTAACTAGTTCTATTCTATAGCTCCGGTTATTAGATAGATTAATAGTACTAATAGATATAGTTTACTAAGTTTAAAATAGGTATTATAAATATAATTCTACTACTATTAAATAGGCGTTATTATCTTAGCTACTTTCTAAACTATTTTATTTATTAAATTTAGGAGTCTAATCTATCTAAGTATAGCAGAATAAAGTAAAGTAAAACTCTCTAAAGTAAGTAGTTAGAGAGACTTAAGTTTCTATCTACTATAAGCCTATAAAGAAATACTTTCTACTAAGAATTCCT